GCGCGGCCCCACAACAATGTTATTCTAGCGTCCAGCCGAATTCGAGCTGATGTGAATGTTTCATTATGAATGTTACGAATGTAAAAAGAAGTTTTCGCGAAAGCATAATCTTAAAAGTCATATTGATTCAATTCATGAATGTATCACCTACCCATGCGATTTCTGTGAACAGACATTTTCCCAAAAGGAAATTTGAAAGCTTACATCGACTCGGTAGATAAAAATATCACCTTCCCATGCAATTTTTGTGAGAAAAAATATCAGAGTCAAACAAGACTTTTTAAACATGTCAAATTGTCCCATGCAATTAATACCCACTACCCATGTGATAAATGCGGCAAATCATTTTTACTAAAGAATAATCTTAAATATTCAGATCGGCGCCGTTTCTCAGCAGCAATTCGATCACCACGTTCGTCGTTGTGGAAAGAAGCCAAGTTCGGCGGCAGCGTGCACAGCACGATCGTATTCGAAATCCTTAATTCCGACAATTGCAATTCCTCTTGCATCGTTCATCGATGTCTGAATTTAAAAAAAGGAATTAATAATAGTATATTACTGCCCTAGGCCGCGAAAAACAGAAAAGCCCCAGAGTACGTGTAATTAGTGGCCGTCGCGAAGCCGATGTCGATAAACATGTGCTCTGGGGCTTTCTTTTTTCGCGGCATAGGCCTGTATACTATTTTTCATACACAGTGGCCCGAAATTGGCTCTTCCCGCTTTGCGCAGTGGTAGGGAAGTAGTCACTTACAGGCCGCTGGTATGAAAATTTTTTTATCAAAAATGAACTGCACAGCGTGATATTTACTTCGAACTCCTAGGAATAATGATTACTACACAGATCGCTTTTCTCTCTGATTTGGGCAAAAAAAATTCTACATGAGTTCCAGTCTAGTATAGATGCGTATGATATGATTACGAATAATTCATGGTCAGAAAAACCTCACTCGAAAGTAAATAACAAATTGTACTCGATTATTATTGGTTTATTATTGGATTATTGCACAGGCACTTGAGGACTGCGTGAGTTTGTTTTACAAACTTGGCATACCTTACTTACTCGTAGTAGATTCTACGCAAGCGACGACTATGAGAACGTCTGAATTAGGTGGGCATCGTACTTTTTTGTCAACTCGGACTATCTCCTATTTCGTCTGCCTCACGTATAGGCATAAGTTCAAAAACTGCCTCGTTTCGTAGTTCGATATCCCACACCAAGAAAATTCGTAGCTGCCACGCGCATAGATTCGAAGCAGTTTCTCTGCTGTTACTTTTAGCGTGCACGTATGATAACAAAAGTTACAAACAATATTAGCATGACCTTATCATGTCTTATTACCGTTGAATTGAATGTTAAATTTTCACGAGATTTACTCATATGCTTGTTAATATTTATGTACTACTCTTATAATTATTGTAATAATTTATTATAAATAACTATACTTTTGCAATTATTTACATATAATCTTATGATTTTTATTTTAATTAGTCAAGATGAATGATAATAAAATTTATAATATAAAAATATTTTACAAGGTCTTTATTTCTTCATGCCAAAAGTATGAATAATAGGTACAACCACAAATCCACTTTTAAATGGAAATTTACACATTTTGCATACGATTTCTGTAAGATCATAAAGTTTATACTGATTGGAACTATTGTCATCTTTCACTTCCCATATATCAAGTATGCTAGACTTACATGGACTACTAAAAAAATCGCCTTCTTTTTCTAATTCTTTTCCAACGAACATTTTTCGTTTGCCATTCATTACTACAAAATTCTTAACAATTATTACAGCGCCGCTTTTTATCATAATACAATCATTTTTTCCATCCATACAATTCAATTTAAAATTTTTAAAAGTAGCAAACACATACTCTTCATTAATCTTTAGTCCAAGTATAAGTGAACCAAGATTATTTATTTTTGAAAAATTTACATCGAAGTTTGACTTTTGTTTGGTAATATTTATTTTACAATTATCAATTTCGGCGCAGCGTTTTATAAGCTGGGCTAATGGTTGGTTACCTTTTCTTAATAGTTTTTTAATTTTTCTAATATGATTTTCAAATCGGAATGCTGAAAAATTTTCTAACGCTCCGTACTTTTTAACATCGTCGACTAAATGTATCAAATTGTGAATGTTGTATGTAACGAAATTTTTTCCATAAATTTCTTGATAATCAAACATGAATTTTTCCATTAATTTAGAAGTGTAGTCTAGCCATTCATTTTGATTACAAAGTGTTGTGTTACATAAAATTGTAATAGACACTTGCAAAGTTAAAAAATTGTTGTATACTTTTTTGCTTACTAGGTCTTTTAATACTATCATACCTGTGTACAATAAAATTTGACGAAATTCAGTTGCTTTATATAATTTAACGTATTTCAATTCTCTTGGTGTACGTGCAAATTCGTACGGTATATATTTCTTGATCGACAGTAAATTCGACGATATTTCATCCACTTTGTTTTGCGGCAATTTCTGAATCGATTTTGGAAACATCCATAGAAATATTAACTTGCGCATGCAACCAAGGTACACCAAATGCATACAGTCAAGGGGTACACTTGATACAAGGCCGAATCGAGGAATTTCGCAAAGTATACTTTCTGCTCGTTGATAATTTTGGGAATACATGTTATTTTGAAATTCGTCATCAAGTCGAAGCCGTGGCTTTATTCCAACGATATAATCTTTCTCCCACGGGAACGTTACGCAATCATACATTTCTCCTTCTATTGTACACTTGGTACATGAATGATATCCACTATGGTACTTAACATTCATGACGAAGGCTTTTGCAGGAGCATCACAAATCAAAGCATTTATTATCACCTCATATTTCATCTCTTCATAAAAAAAACCATTATCAATGAATTCCTTTGCATCCTCCACGAAACACTTCAAAAAAATATTGGGATCCTTTGGTTTCGATTCACCCGCGAAAACTCCAATTATGTACACTTCAGAATATTTTTCGTCCGAACATAAAATTGGCCATAAACTTTTTTCTGATGACTGTGCTAGTGGTGCTCCATCGATGTTAATTAAAAGTTTTATTACTTTATCGTCGTCTATTTCAATAATCCTGTGACTAATGATTTTTTCCAGACCATATTTTAGTCCAAAGTGACAATAATATCCAGATTCCATTGTCACAGGACTGCAATTATTTCGTGGGGTTTTTAGTAAAGTTCGAGCATCCAAAGGTAATTTGGATAGACTAGGAATTTCATCCCTAATATCGTGCAAAAGTCGATTAATTGCAGAGTGATTTATGCAGTGATCAATAGACCATTGAGATAATATACTGCAAAATTTATTTGATAAATGCGATGACGATAAAAAGTGTTCGTCATTTTTAACAATTGTTATCTCTTCAGCATCGTCTTCATCTTCTTCGGAACTGTAGCGTAAATCGACTTCGTCGGAATAAACGTCTTCAAGAGTGATCTTAAGAAATTCCATCGACACAGTATCAGAATAATTATTAATTAAATAACATTCTTCGGTTTCTACATTGGTTGAATCATCAAATACTTTATTCTTGTCTGATGCAAACGAGTTTGTTAACACTTTTGGTCGCCTTTCCTCACCACAAACTTTTGCTAGAGATTCACGTGATGGTTCCGATGTGAACTCTTCATCGTCAGATGAACTTAAAGAGCTTGTCTCTAATTTTTGAATATTTTCTATTGATTCCATGAAAATATTTCTAGTTACTCTATTTTGATGTCGTTTACTACATAACTGTGGTAATTTGCGGCTATAGTAATTTTTCTTTTTTTGATTAACTTTTGGCATCTTGAAGTTAATCAAATTTAAAATTATAATCAAGAATCAATTGATCAGTAAAATTAAATTTTCAAGTACTCTTGATTTTTGTTTTATGTATATTTAAATGAACTATTAAAAAACGTATTTTATGCTTGGTACATTAATTATAAGTCATCAATAAAGCGCGCAAAGTTCATTAATTTGATTGTACATCTTTTCGGTATAAACGCACAGACGAATACACAGAGCTGCGTCGAGCGGGAATAGATACACACGTTATGCGTACATAACGGTAAATATGATGTCTAAAGTTCAATTTTTCCAAAGATCTCGACACTGTCTGTGAATTTATAATAAAATGATAACTAAGACTTTAGAAGAACTTACATTGTCCTGTGCAGTTGGAAAGAGCTCAAAAACAATTGATGTGTACCTATATAACACGCACAAAGGCCACAGAGCACTAGTAGCGAATAACAATATTCTCGAATAACAATAATACAAGTGAGTACACTATGCTCGAATTCGGCTGGACGCTAGAATAACATTGTTGTGGGGCCGCGCTGAGAGAAAAATTAGACGATCGACAAGTGTGCCGACGCGTATCACGTTGTAACTTGTCGTCGTTTCACGCTGTATATGCCAGGGCTAAGCGCAGCGCTGCCGCGCAAACTGGTAGGCAGTAGCAGTTACGACGCCGACACACACAGCGTTAAACGTCGATCATCTGATCCCGCGTTACGCGCGTAGAACGCGGTAGTATTTATGCTATGTGAATTTTAACTGAGCATCGTGTAGTCGCACATTTTTTTTACATTCTCGAAGGTCACATACACCCTGTCTGTTGTATAGTTAGTTGAAGCTACGAGCTCGAGCGTGTAATATCTATAGTCATTTAGTGAAGTGTAGATGTGCGGTAAATTTTGTTTTTAATTTCACGATTGATTAGTAATCATGTTCGAACATTATTATCCCGATCGATGGATTTGGTGTGTAGTGCAATTTAAACAGGAAGGGACACTGTTCGTTGTACCAAATAATTGGATTTCAAGCACTGGTAAAGAGTGTTATTGGCCTCCGTTCAAGACTGACCAGAAAGTTTTGAAAGCCTCTGAAAAAAGGGTGAATCCTTGTTGTATTACATGGGATTTGTTGGAAATCGAAGAAAATATCGATCATGCTGGTATGTATGAGATAATTTTACTTGTTTTATTTAATTTTATTTCGGCTAAATGATAAAGATATTCTACCTTATGCTATTCTAGAAACATATGAGATCGGCAAGACGAAGTTAAAAATAAGGCAAGACTACTCAGATGTTGAAGAACGCTACAATGCAATAGTTAATGCAAAATTGAGACATTCCAGACACATAAAAAAAGGAACGACGTCTGAAGACGACAATTCACTTTCATCTTCAGCCCAAAATAGTGATGAGATTGAGCTTCGTGAAGATGTAGAGCCCCCCCAAAAAAAATTCAGTAAGTAATCGTTACATCAAGTAATTATTAAATCTTTATATTTTTTTGCTACATAATTCCTTCTTTTTTTCCTAGGAAATGATGAATTGGATGGCGATTGCTCATTTTCGAGTTTTGAACCAACAGATTCTGTACCGGATAAGGGTGACGAACAAGCGAAAAAGGTCGCATCTCTTGCAGGAGTTCCCGATGGACACAGCGATAATCATTCGAACGATTCGGCGGCATCTACTTCATGGGATGAAGAAAATCCAGGACCAAGCAATCATAAACAGAAAAGTAAAACACCGATTCGATCGAATTTGTTGCCAGTATCCAAGAGGACGCTTTTGGGCGGAAATTTGTCTTCCAACAATGATATTATTATAAGTAAGTGAACCGTGATAAGGTCATTAATAGAGTCAAAAATGATTTTGGTATCTAATTCATATTGTTTTTGTGCAGGATCACTCGAAGAGATACTTTTGAATCAAGCCCAAATTAAAAACGACTTGATGAATCTACAAAATAATGATGCAAGTATTCAGGACCTCATTGATACTGATGAAATGTTCACTAATATTCTTAAACTAAAAACGATGGAAGAATTCCTCCAATTTGAATTGAATTTAGCTGAGGACAAACACTTTTTATCTAAAGCTGTAAGTACCTTGGGTTGATATGAAGAATTAGTTTGTCTAGATATGTTTTTATATCTTCTTTTTTATTTTCAGAAAAAGTACCTTAATGGTTTTGGAGGCAAAGATGGACACTTTACAACACGCAACATACTGGCTGCATTGATGACCGATGATTTAGCCATGAAATTTAATTTCAAAGGAAAAGTAAGGAAACAGATTAAAAAAATGGGTATTGAACAAACTCGTCTTTACAAAAAATTAGTAGAGCCTGGTAAGAGAATAATGGATTTTTTAAAATTTAATTTGAATAAAAATTGTTATTAATTTCAACGAAAATTGCAGTTGTATTACGTAAAACGAACCAAAACTACACGAGAACTGAAATAAAGAAATCTACTGAGACTTGGCTGAAAGAGGCAAAGAAGAGATACTTTCGCTCATTACAAGAGAAAGGCCAGAATGAAAAAAATTAAATAATATAATATTTGTTCTATTTTATGTATTATTTTTTTTATAAAAATGAATGTGCATTGTAACAAAATTTAGTGCGAGTATAGGATACCGTTGTTCATGAAAGGTTGAAAACCAATACTGCTTATTTTCCATAACTATCTATTTTATGTATTATTTTTTTATAAAAATGAATGTGCATTGTAACAAAATGTAGGGCGAGTATAGGATACCGTTGTTTATGAAAGTTTGAAAACCAATACTGCTTATTTTCCACAAGTATCTATTGTATGAATTATTTTTTTATAAAAATGAATGTGCATTGTAACAAAATTTAGTGCGAGTATAGGATACCGTTGTTCATGAAAGGTTGAAAACCAACACTGCTTATTTTTCATAACTATCTATTTTATGTATTATTTTTTTATAAAAATGAATGTGCATTGTAACAAAATTTAGTGTGAGTATAGGATACCGTTGTTCATGAAAGGTTGAAAACCAATACTGTCCATTTTCCAAAACTATCTATTTTATGTATTATTTTTTTATAAAAATGAATGTGCATTGTAACAAAATTTAGTGCGAGTATAGGATACAATTGTTCATGAAAGGTTGAAAACCAATACTGCTTATTTTTCATAACTGTCTATTTTATGTATTATTTTTTTATAAAAATGAATGTGCATTGTAAAAAAATGTAGGGCGAGTATAGGATACCGTTCTTTATGAAAGGTTGAAAACCAATACTGCTTATTTTCCACAAGTATCTATTGTATGAATTATTTTTTTATAAAAATGAATGTGCATTGTAACAAAATGTAGGGCGAGTATAGGATACCGTTGTTTATGAAAGGTTCCCTGTTTAAAAAAAATCGCTGGATTTCCAGGTGAAAAATCGAGCAGTATATGACTGGAAATCGAACTCGATTTGACCAGAAATCGAGCTGTATTTGACTGGAAATCTAGCTCGATTTTTGACTGGAAATCCAACTCAATTTTCGATCTGAAATCTAGCTCGAGTTTTAAAAATCCAGCTCGAATTTTGGCCTGAAATCTAGTTTGATTTTTGATCTGAAATCGATCGATTTCCAGTCCAAAATCGAGNAAAATATGGTTGCCGCAACGTTGCTGCAACTTTCCGTGCTATCAGGGAAAGAATTTAAAAATGTTACGAAGTATGAAAAGTTAAAAGACAAATTAGAGGACCACCGAATGATAATAATCGAATGATGAATATTAATCACTCTTTTGCATACCGGCCTTCACGTATAATTTTTTTTAATTGTTCGAAACTTACTTGATCATCTCCTAGAATAAGTGCCAAAAAAGTATATAGTCGAATGAATTATTAAAAAATGTTTGATAATAATTTGAAAATTTTTCACACACTATTCTTAATTGTCCCAGCAGCTTTGCAAATGTTTACTGACAATGTTAATATCGATAAACATGGCTATATAAAAACAAGGTCAATACGTGAAATTCCTATATTTTCAAATAAAACTGATATTAATTTAAAAAACAAAATAATAAAATGTACACAAATTATTGAATCCAATTTATTGTTATCCCCACTAACGCCGAGACCCCTGCCTGCGTCCCCACTCAAACGTCGTGCACTGCTGCACTCGTCCCCACCTCGCGGCATCAGCCAATCTGCGCGCACTCCCTTCCTATATGAGAAATGTGAGAAATGTAATCTTCTAAAAATATCATCTCCTTGTAAAACATTTCACTCGAAAGTTGAATGGGCTCTCGGTTTCTTTTTTTTTTTATTGATTGCAACAAATTTTTTTCTCATGGAGTACCATTCTTTTTTGAGCCAGTCCGCTAGAAATTAAAAAAACATATCAAGCTAATTAAAAAATAAATAAATAAATCATTTTCAAAAATGAAACAAAAATTAAGGGGAGAAGTTGGAAGAAATGAGCGTAAAACGTGAGTTATGGTATCGAGTCTTGTTGTTCAGCATAGAATGAACTAGAAAATGTATAGGGGCTACGATTTAATTATATTGTAATTAATTTCTTGTGTAAGAGTAAGTAAGCAAAATTAAGCCTATTGTGACGATTAATTAGGAAAAGCAAAATCATTCTTCTATGATTTGGTAAAATTTTTTTTATCGTCCAGCTTGCTAAAAAAAATAAAAAAACAGAATTTGGTAATTCATGAGGCGAATGCTCCCGAATCCAATAATCGTAATGTAAACATGAAAGTTTCTTACCTGTTTTATCATTATTCAAACGTTCTTGTACTTTTTAACGATGCAAAAGAAATTGTGAATCTTTTCTTGGACTTTATGTTGAACCCTCTTTGAATCAAAAATATAATTAAAATCGTCCCCTTGAATGAGATTCCTTATAATTATCTGTTGTATCGGATCCATTAGTAAACAGATTAATACTTATTTAACAGATTACTCCATTTTTCGCACAGAACTATTGACTCGGTTTTTCGCACCCTAACTAATGGACGTATGCCTAGCGTGTACACGCACCAGCAGTGTTATGGAGTGGGAGCCTCCCCCCCCCCCCCCCCCCCCCCNCCCCCCCCCCCCCCCCCCAATTTTGCTTTTGGAGCAAAATTGTGGACTGCTATCTTCCGGTAGCAAAGATCAATGCACGCGAGGAAGGGCAAAAAAACGAAAGAAGATCAGTTCCGCGTTCTATACCATCTAAAGCTACGGAGTACGACGGAGTGGGAGTCCCGCTTCGATTCGAATTTTCGGAGTAGAAGTGACGAAAGACAATCGGTTCATATTGTTGTGGTATTTTGAGCGAGCGAGACCGACTCTTCGCGGTGTTTCATTGCGTTTGCTGTTTTGTTCATATTGTTGTGGTATTTTGAGCGAGCGAGATCGACTCTTCGCCGTGTGTCCTTGCGTTTGGTGTTTTGGTTAAGATGGAAAACGAGCAAAATTTGATTTACGAGGAAATCGTGCGAACTTTCTTCATGAATAATCCAGATTTTTACTATAAAGGAGTGAAGGCGTTCAAAGAACGCGACAAATTAAAAAAATTGAAGGTCTTAGTATCTCATTTACGCGAGCTCAACATTCACAAAACAGGTAATTTTTTATCATTTTCATCCAAGTACTTCTAACTAATCTAATTTTTAATTCTAATTTTTGTCCAAGTACTTCTAACAAAACCTAAAAACTAATGTATACAATTAATTAATAACCTAATTACTAATTAATTTTTTTTTGCATTTATTTTTCAGTGGGAGAAATTCAAGCCACATAGTATAATGCACGTTACTGCACCGTAACACACGTGCACGTTAATGCATGTTAATGCATGTTTACGAACGTGCAAGTTTATGCAGTTGTTCGTATTCAGGCTAAATTTCGTGCAGATAGGATAAAAATCTACAAAGTTATGACGAAAAAACACAATTTTGAAAATATTCTATTTTTCGCTTGTTCGGCCCGCGCATGCGCATGGACCGAATTAGGCTAAATCGTAATATTTTTCAGAGGAAATTGAAGGTTTTCTCAATTTTTTTTACTAATTACAGACAACTTCAAGCCTGGATAGTATTTGCTACAGATTTCTAGTGTAGTTGTTCGTATTTAGGCTAAATTTAGCGCAGATTGGATGAAAATTGACAAATTTATGACGAAGAAACACAGTTTTAAAAATTCAAACGCCTGAAATGACCATTTTTGGACAAAATTCACAGCGACGAATTACACTGAGTAAAAATTGTTTAAAAAACTTTTCAGATATCATTTCTCACGTAAAATTTGATGTACTTTTTGAATCGGAGGTCAGATTTTTCAAAAATTTATTCAATAAAAAGTTATAAACAATTTTGTAAACAAAAACATGAAATTTTGAGAAAAAAATCTTGTTTAACTCAAATTTTAACACGGAAAGAAGGTTCATAAATTTGTTTCCCGAAGACCTGTATGTCATAAAATGGTTTAGACAATTTTTAACTCGATAACGATCAGCTTTACGAGAAAAAGTTGCAGAATAAAAAGTGTTTAGAATTGATCAAAGAACACGTCTGATTTTTTTCAGAATTTTTTGGAACAATCTTATAGTTATTCACTTTGCCTTGGTTATGAGAAAACTTTTACTCGCTTTTCGAATAAACATTGAATTTAATATCTGTGGTGGAACGGCATAACGAGTTAAGTCCATTTTTTTGAAAATCGATTTTATGATGAAAAACGTCTATATTTAGTGTCTATTTTAATGTACAAGGGTCAAAATAGACGAATATAGCGTCTAGTGTTAGTTGCAGCATCGTGCATAACGACTTAAATCCATTTCGCGAAGACTGGGGAAAGGCAAAACGACTTAAGTCCACCGTTGCGAGTTTCAAAATGCTATAGAGAGTCTAATTTTATTTGAAAATGAAAGAAAATGATATTAGAATGTTAAACATAGCTCCACACTCTTCGAATGTTGTGAATTACACTATATGATTGTTACATTTGATACGCGAGGGGCAATTTTCTCGATTTTCAGTTTGGCCTTTTTTCGTTGCAAGATTTGAGATCTGACAGCACTATAACGTTAAATGAGCTATCTTATCAATGTAATATCATTAAATGAGGTTGTGCGAACAAACTGCGCGAAATTATCGATATTGAAAAAAGTGTGACTGCCAAAAGTGGACTTAAGTGCAAACTGTGGAAAGGCAAAACAACTTAAGTCAATATTTTTTGCTCCCTATCATCGCTATGATGCGCCTTTCAATTTCATAAGTACATAGTTCAAAAGCTACCTCATAGTAGCTTAAAACATCATAGGTTCAGACCTCAACTCGTCCGCGTCTAGTTAGGCTGGCACAATCAACTTAAAACGCGTTTTTCTCGAAAATACGAAAAATGGACTTAAGTCGTTATGCCTTTCCACCACAGATATATAAATACGATCTTCCGAATATCTACTTCTTATCAGTGTATCAATCCCTTACTTGAAGCAAGAAGTAATTCTGAATCTCTCACGCTGATCTCTTCAATTGGTTTTTATACATGTAGACAATTTAACCGCTACAATGATCGATAAAACAGCCATAATTAAAATTCCTTTTCGAAATTCTTAAATTGCATATTATACAGCTCTTTATTTTTTTTAATAGTGAATCAAATTTTTATATACAAAATGAAATTCCTTCGATACGCTTGATAGATATATAAAAATTATTGATATTATTAGTGTTAATAAAATTGCACATTTTACTGAAATGTAAAAGTACGAATTGTCCTAAATAGAGACAGCGCATGATATATTATGTTTGTAACACATGTTAACAGTTTGCAATAAATAAATGTAATTCAATACTGAATGTTTCAATATATCTTTATTTTCTACGTAATTTTTAGTTTGTCCATACAACATAAGGTGGTGCCTGTTAAAATTAAAGCAGCTCCCAGATAAGTATCTGAAAAACGAAAAATCGAGATAAAAATGTATTTTTGGAATTGCAAAAATTTTTCAAATAAGGAGTTAACTTGGAGAACATCAGTTCGACAATTTACTCATCTACGATTCAAAAAAATATACGAATTCTTTTCATCATAAATAGTCATACAAATAGTAAAATATGACATCACAAATATTTTATCATTAGCCAAAACTCCAATAATGCTTAATAAAAATTTCAAAAATTCATTCGTTCACTATTTTATAAAAATATAACTCGACGAACTTGTTTGATTTTTTTTAGAATGAATTCGAAATTTATCCTTAGTAGCACAGAGTAAATTAACAATGATTTCAAATTACTTACTTCTGTGAACTTTGGCTTCTCCTAAAAAGGATCCCGTTACAGCAGTAAAGAGAAAAGTTAAAGAATTTACAACTACAACTGTCAGTGATAAGTCAGTCTGCTGCAGTAGAAAAACATACAACAAAGAACCAATTTGATTCACGACGAAAGGAACCATGTACTGAAAAAAACGAATAATTAATACGTCGTAACGCTAAATATAATATTGCTCATGGGTGTCACGAAATTTACTTTTACAGTTGTCACTAGAAAGTATACATCTTTGAAGAACTGATCAACCGGCGAAGATGATTTGATAGAATCAATTCCTTTTGCTCCTTTTTTCATAAAAGGATTCGTTACTCCCCAGAATAAGGCAACTGTTACCAATCCGATTATAGACTCTGTAATTCGGTTAAAATAAAATTATCTCCAACTTTTGGCTTCATTAAACTAATTATTTAATCATAAGTTATACTACTAACCTATAGTAAGAGACATTATATCTTAATTTTTTATAACTTTATGTCGTTATATTTTACTATATGACCAATAATTATTAACTTGAAAAATTATTTTCTCTGATGGATGTGCAAATTAAGAGTCTTATGTATATTTTCGTTGTCTCGTTGGCAATGTTAAATAAATCTTCTTAATAAAACCAATTTGAAAATGTAGAACTTTTTAAACATTGTTTATTTTTAACAAACTAAATTTTTTAATTATGTACAAAATCAACCATTTCACACAAGTTAGGTATTCGTATCAAGTGTCAAATTTTACTTGTTGACATTTCTGCTGTCTGCATACATGATACGATGCACGTTTGCAGTCTGCTTGGCTATTTTGTAATTCAGCGCCCTCTAAATCGGTCTGCGAACTACAAAAAAGCGATGACAGCATAGCACGTTTTTAAATCCACTGTCGTTATTAAAGTTAAAGTATTTTAACTAAGCACCTTCAAAGTGACAATTTTTCAGCCATAATACTAAAATTTAATAATTAATTTTATAATATGAAGAATATTTCAAAATTAAATAAACATGGAAGATAACAAATGTGAAATAAAAATGACAATTTTTTAACGTTAACTCTCTTAATTATTATTTATTTTTGTATTTATTGCACATAAAGAGCAATCGTTTCACCTTTTAAGTACATTTAGAGAATTCTTTCGCACCATAATAATTAACGATAAATTTAACAATATCACCATTTACATTTTATATTAAAAACTTTATAAACTGTAAAAACACATATTGCACATTGTTAAGAAAATGTTTCACATCAAAAATTAGCTTAGTTTGTGCACAGATAAAGGCTTTTTCATCAAAGTTGTATAAGTTTCAAGTCTTTGAAAATTTCACTTAACAAATTATTAAACACTAAGTCTTATGAACAGAGTTGTGAAGATGTGAATCAACATTCATTTGAAATTAAATTTATAAACAAATTGAGCAGTGTTCAAACGCTTAATAATAAATTTTACGATAAGTATATAAAAAACATATACTAGTAAAGTTCTTAAAAATAAGTGTGAAAGGCTGATAAAAGGTTCAGTGTTATGACAATACTCTTGGGAGAGAGCAAATTTATACACTCATTTACCTTTTTTACAACCCAAAGTATCAACTTGGAATGTTATGAGTCTATTATGCATGAACATATTTTAATTTGATCTAATAAAAAATCTCTTTGACTTTTTTTAATTGTCAAGCAAACTTGAATTTGATCGTATTTGCTGTAAGAAAACTTGAATACTGCGAATTTAGGAAATAATCATCTTCAATAAAATTTTAAATCTCAACAATTAAAAGATTATTAAATGATGATAACAATTATCATTCACTTCTTGCTTTGTACACAGAATTATTAGGAATTTGTTTGAAATCATGAAATCGTTCAACTAAAGCACGAAAAATGCTTCCTGGGATTTGTTGATTTTCATTAATTAATTTATCTAAAGCTGCAGCTACCTATAATCAAACAAAAAAACCATTCAAAATATACTGTAATATTATAATACAAATAAAAAGGTTTTGGAAAATATTTCAGTAATCACCTTAATCTGTAGATCTTCAGGCGTGAGGCTGCCATCATAAGGAATAGGTTGACCAACAATAGTTTTTAATTTTACAGGAAATCCACCATAAATAGGTACAAAAGGGAATCTTGTTGCTGCATATAATCTCAACCACAATCTTCTTCCCAAACTAATAGTTCTAAATGCTTCTCTTATATTTTTTGTAAATACTGGTATTATAGCCTGAGAAACATAATTTTCATAATGCAAATTAAAATATAACAATATTGTGAGTTTTTTTATAAATTTACTTTTTAATTAACATACCACTTTAGCATCCAAAGCTACTTTAGAAAAACCTAGCCTATTTTTCCACATCAATTGATAATAAGCATCTCCAAATTGAGCTTCATAAACTCCTCCGGGAGAAATAGCCAACATATTTCCATCTTTAAGTATTGAGGAACACGTTTGAATTGTGCCAGGAATAACTTTTAAAACATCAGAAATAATACTCCAGCCTGGACATTTGAACAAAAATCTATCAGCTACAGTATGAATGAGTTTTGAATTGAACAAAAAAACTTTAGATATGAAGTAGTAAAGGTCAATAGGTATCGCTCCATGATAGTAAACAAATAAAACTGGCTGATCTGTTGGAATATTTTCTAATCCAACTACCTCGTATCCTGTAAAAAGAAAACTCATATATTAATGTGCTCAAAAAATTCTTACTATTATCAAATACTTTATAACATAAAAGACCGAGAGAAAGAAAAAGCAAAAGTAAAACTAACGGAATCGCAATTATTTCTTGATACATTTTGAGCTTCTTCCTACCATGCCATATCCATCCATGAGCATCCCATACAGCAGCTACAACATGGCGAGCTGCATTTCTCCAATCAGATCCGTAAGCACTTCTCAGCCTATGCCTAAAAATTTTAAGCAAAAATTCGTTGGATAAATATTTTGTGTGCAAAATAATTCCAGCATAATAAAATGGTTAAGAAAAAAAGTTACCTATGCAATCTATATACATATAAAATTAATGCTGTTATATACAAAAGTAGAACAATAACTAAAGGAAGCAGAAAAGTTATCAACAATGGCATCAGTAGCCATAATGTGACATCCATATCTATATAGTCAACTGCAAAAAGAGTATAAAAATTATCACAGATTGTCTTTGTTATTTTTAAATAATTTTGACAATAAACAAACTCACTAAAGTAGCTCTGAAAGTAGCTCCACAAGTCAAGAAAGAATGCCGAAAACATGATTCTACCAGTTATTCAAGCATCAATAGGCACTCGAGTCAAACGCATTCACCATTAATTAACCAACAGCAGCTGGTTTAAATATTGCATGCTCATTCCGACGGCAAAATAATGCAGCACTTTCGTATTGTTGCGAATCGCACGTGTGTGAATAACGCTATGAACGTCGCGCAGGAAGTTCGATCGACGTCGCGAATGATCATTGATGATCGATGCTCGATTCGTATCATGAAAAATCTCTCTACGATCGGCGAGCAATTTTTATTCGTCTTAATGTGTTTATTTATAAACGCACGAAATAAACGTAAACTTCGACGTATATTGCAGCGGTATAGCAGTAGCAGCAGCAGCAGCAGCAGCAACAACAGCACCAATGACAGTTCGCGAATAAGGTTATATTATAGAAACACTCGGACTGCAAACGAGTTAGTGCGGAGGCTGATCATTATGTCTCGTGTCATTCACCAATGACACTTCGCGCAAGATTTCTTCGTTCCTTTTTTTCTGTTTGTTCACCTCAACTTTTTCTATCCGCGTCGTCGAGGCGATCAACAAACTCATGACGACACCGCCTGCGAGTGCGTGCGTATACGTGCGCTCACGAAATTCCACCTGTCCCGTCGTAACTGTGAATCGCCATTTGAAATACTACGCTTGTATATACAGCCACGCTAGAGCTATATATATCTATACAGTTATGTGTTTTATTTGGCAAGGGTTTAATGACAATTCACGAGTATACACATGCGCGCGGCGCGATTATATACATTACATTTTATTTACAAACTCGAGTGCGCGATCATGCACTGACAGTAGTTGCACCGACAAACGCACGCACGCATTCGTTTTATAGATATATATCGCGAAGAATACATAAATGCAGTGCAAACGTACCGAGACTTTCAAGGTGATTCTTCATAAAATATGCGTGTTCGGCTACAGTGGAGTCACTGACCTTTTACCGTTTCTGATTCGCTTCATATCTTCGCTCGATCTTACATCTGAATTCTGAGATCAGATTTAGTGAGTTCTAAATCGAGTGACAATGAAGTTGATTGTAGTAGGTCTCTCAGATCCAATAATCACTTACTATTTTGGATAAGGCCCTAGAATTTGGCTGCGACGCGACGTCGACCCCCAAAGATTCGCTCTACCAACGGCCCAAATTCGATACTTGACTTTGGTCGCGTTGTCGTCACGCTTTTATAATACTCGAAATATCCGATGATCGCGATATTCGAACGACAACAAAACGATTCTAATAAAGCGTCAGAATTACGCGTCGATAAAGTGATATAAATGCAAATAAAAAAGTCATAGAGGGCGCAGAAATTTTGATTCACGCAAAAGCTCATTTAATTCGGGATACATTATGCGTATAAAAATAACAAAAGCCGCGAAAATTCAAGGTGTTCAATGTCGCGAGTATGGTTTCTCTCTTCGAATGTAAGTGAAATTTTTAATTCAGAATATTTGAAGTAGAGACTGTTATTAGTAATAGACTATGTAACTATGTAATTGAATCGATGCAATAAATGTCTTATTTCACACATTGTTAATGCGTAAAACACGTTTTTGGGCATTTGTGTGCGGTAAAATGACTCGTTTAAAATGTAAAGCATTTTTCGCTTACTGTTGCATAAATAGTATATTACTGCCCTAGGCCGCGAAAAACAGAAAAGTCCCAGAGTACGTGTAATTAGTGGCCGAGGCGAAGCCGAGACCGATAAACACTTGCTCTGGGGCTTTCTTTTTTCGCGGCATAGGCCTGTATACTATTATTCAAACACATTGGCCCGAAAATAGCTCTTTCCCCCTTTGCGCAGCTGCAGGTAAGTAGTCACTTTCGGGCCGCTGGTATGAAAATTTTGTATACAACACACATGGCCGTCACTCGTGTCTTTTTAACTTTTCGTTTTGACGACTTACAAACATGTATACTCAGGGTTGTCTCGATCAAACTTTAGAAAGTCCAGCGCAGTATATGGGGGCGTCGTCTATGTGCTTCTATGTGTTCGATTACACCGGAACCTTTCACTTTCAAGTTGCAGCTGCGCCGACCACATGTTCTATTTTACTCTCGGCATATAGACCATATAGTTCAGAACAGTAGAAGCTACGACGTCGTCGTGTAAGCAGCGAACCTGTCTCGTGGATTTTGGAAGGAAAAAACTAATATATTTTTTAAATAATCGCTGTTTGTGTGTCGTGTGTTGCAGTGTTCAAAATTTATAATGTCTTCGTCAAGTGTCAGATCCGAGGAGCAGCGCATCGAGCATCCCAAGCTAGATAGATTGAAGAGATTACGAGAAACAACTACTTACTTCTTGAAGATAAAAAGCCATCGATACTATTTTATCAGAGAATTGGTACCCTTGATAAGCGATTGGAAAGAACGACTTCCAAATTTGGGCGACGTTTTTACGAGACAAGAGATTGATTGGCTTCTCGCCACGAGCCTCGAGATGTGCAGTCAACTCTTTCAGGAGTTCGTTGATTTCCTTATTCGTTGCGGCTACAAGGACGAGCCCGACTTGGACGAGAACGGCAAGCCAATGCTGCTTCGCACCACAGCGGTACACCTGATAGACGAATGCAACTGGAGAACTTCGAAAAGAGTAGCGTTGAGAAAATTATTCGAAATTTACGACAAATTTCAGGCAAATTATATCGGCGAGTCGGGCTACAACACTCATTTCCATGTGGCATGCGAGTACGGACTGGTCGACGTCGCGGAGAAGTTCCTCGAGCTCGGCCAGGATCCCAATTGCTTCAAAGGGAAAATGGGCCGTTCGGCGCTGTACTTGGCTTTGATGGGCAAACGCGTCAAGGTCGTCGAATTGCTGTGGAAACACGCCGTTGACCCGAATATGCCCGACGGTTTCGGATACACTACTTTTCACGTCATCGACAATATTGGCAAGGACATGGCGGAGATGCTCTTTGAGCTCTGCGATGACAAAAGTCGGCCGGTAAAAATCGACGCCCGTGACAATTCGGGTAATACTCCGCTACACGTGGCACTGGAAAGCCGGAATAGAGAAATCGTCGAATTGTTGCTGAGGAGAGACGCCAATCCGACTTTGGCCAATAATAAAGGAGAGACTCCTCTGCACGTCATTTCCGGGAGCGACGAGAATGGTAGCTTGTTGCCACTGTTCTTCCGTATCTGCAAACTCAAGCGTCAGCCGATTCAACTGGATATTCGGGACAACGAAGGCAACACAGCGTTGCACGTGGCAACTTCGCGCGGAAACGTAAAGGTGATCGAGTGGCTGCTGAAACGTGGCTCGAACCCGTCTCTAACCAACGAAAAAGGAGAGACTCCTCTGCACATGATTGCCAAGCACGGCCGCGGAATGGAGCGATTTTTCAGTGTAATCGGAGACACGAAGCAGACGGTGCGTATCAACACCCGGGACAATTTGGGCCGAACGCCGCTAGAATGGGCCGTGGCGAGTTGCTGTCCGCCGGCCTTCGTGAGTCTTCTGGAGAGTGGCGCCGACCTGTCCGGCTTCGTTTTTCCGACCCCGACGGACTCTGATTACCACGGGGAAGTCGTTCGTGATAGATCATCACTCTTTACCAATTGTTGTACCATACTGAAATTGGCTGTTGCGACTGGTCTGCTGGCCGTCGTCGAACTGCTCGAGGCAAAATTAAGCTACGAACTGGACTTCGACGACGCCCTGAAAGTCATGGGATTTTACGACACGTACAAATTGTATGAAAGTGCGGATGTTTCGATCAGTAAGGATGTCAACGATTTGGTCGATTCGATATTCGAAGAGATGGCGGCAAAATCCACGTATATGGATTACTTCGAGTTCGCGAGCTCGTACAAGTTGTCCAAATTTTCCAGCGCGTCTATGCAGACTTGTGCTTTGCGTCTGTGCGAGAAAGTATCGAGGAAATTTTTTCGCGAATGGGCCCTGGAATGCTTTACGGCATTGATACACTATCGGCTGCCAATTCCCTGTTGTGACATGATTATAGACCAGCTAACGAACAAAGATTTATATAATATTTGCTTGGCGGCTAATGGTCAAACTGATGAGAAAGATAAAATAAATGTAATAGAAAATGTAATAAAACGTAAAAACGAAAGATCTGTTGGAGATGGAAGCGCGCCAAAACGGCTAAAAATTGAATGTTAATATGATAATATAAAATGTAAAAAGAGTGAAAAAGATGATCGGGTATTTGCTTGGCGGCTGCCGGGCAAAACTCGCGATGACGACAATAATTACATTTGGAATATTTTGATTTATGTACATGGTGTTGTTTCAATGAATAAATAAATACATTTAATAAAACGAATTTCCATTTGTCCATTAATAAGCACAATATCATTATCCTCTTTAAAACGGTGAGAATACATATACGTGCTCTCTTAAGGGCTCAAAGGGGGCTTAAATAATTATATATTTCTATTTATAGTATTAAGCTGATAAGGTGAAAAAAAATTTTTTTCAGAAAACAGACATAAGAGCTTTTTTCAATACCCCATTTGAAAGTACTTTGTCCAGTTAAATACTTACAAACACATAAATTAACTTGTATCAGCCTATGAGCCCTCAGCGAAGAGCATTGAGGATATCTAAGCTGTTTTTCGTAAGATTCTAAGTGATGGCTTGACACAACTAAGTTCTATGTCATTTCATTTTCTTCAATGGATCATTATCCATCAACGCAACCTTAAGCTAAGCATAAGATCCACTTTGACTACTTACACATACAATTTAATAAAATATTTTATTAAAATTTATCAAAAATAATCATTAATGAATAAAATATTTTATTAAATTGTATGTGTAAGTAGTCAAAGTGGATCTTATGCTTAGCTTAAGGTTGCGTTGATGGATAATGATCCATTGAAGAAAATGAAATGACATAGAACTTAGTCGTGTCAAGCCATCACTTAGAATCTTACGACAAACAGCTTAGATATCCTCAATGCTCTTCGCTGAGGGCTCATAGGCTGATACAAGTTAATTTATGTGTTTGTAAGTATTTAACTGGACAAAGTACTTTCAAATGGGGTATTGAAAAAGGCTCTTATGTCTGTTTTCTGAAAAAAAATTTTTTTTCACTTTTTCAGCTTAATACTACAAATAGAAATATATAATTATTTGAGCCCCCTTTGAGCCCTTAATACTTTATGATCTACTAGGAACACCCTAGAAAGAATTCAAACAAAAGTAACTTATGTATCTCATCAATAATGCATTACGAGTTAAACTAATTGTTATTGCAAAATTCGATGGAAAAAAAGTTCTAATTTTTTTAATTCAGAATCACAGAATATAGAATCACGTCATTAAAAAAAAAAAAAAAAAACGAAATTGATCATTGCTAAAACGATTCTCGAAATTGATCGAAAAGAGATGCGATTGAGTTGCGAAGAATCGAATGAGATCAACGGCTAAACTCCATTGGAAAGTATTAGAAACTAAAAAACAACCGCAAAAGAGTGTAAGAGGTGGTGCGGGCGCTATAATGTCAAATACTTGGGAAATATTGAGTCGGAAGTCAGTACGGATTGTTAAACGCAATGAAATCAAGAGCCTGCGCTAATAGGCTTGCAAATTTCTTTATATTATCAAAGCGAGAAAAAATATTCTTTTCGTTCAAAGTTCGAGCATTATCGCTAGATGGCGATGGCGGAATTCTCCGTGTATCCAAAAGAGAAGGAGCAAAGTTTTAGCATTAGGTTCGAATGTGCTATCTCATGTGATGAATAATCTTTCGTCTTCTAGTTACACTTAAAGATTGTATTCCAATCGTATTTAGAAGAAGAGACGGGAAGCTTCTTATCTCGAGTCTCGTGACTGGGTTGTAACGGATATAGCCGGAATTATTATTCATCGACTATTTATAGGAAAGATCATGTTCTCATTAAAGCATATTCATCCTATACCTGACGATCAAACGACTATTGAAATAATTGTTCAAAAGAAATTTCAGGACGTGCTTTTATCATTCGAATCCAAATTATGAAGAGTCTTCAATTCTGGTTTGATTCTCGCTAACGAATCAAATCGATTTTGAAGCTCGACCAGTCAAACTCCCAATCGCTTCTCGTTGGAATTTTCAGTTACCCAAAATATAAAAAATGCAGTCCCTCGGAATGCGAATCGGACACGACTCCCAGAACTCGAACGATGGGTCAATCATCAAAACTATAACGATCGTCGAAAGCTTCATTTTTTTCACGTAATTCGAGAACAGACAGAGATCGTTTTAGAGATAATATCGAAGCCGCTCGTGCGGACTGCAACGCAGCGAGAGATAGATATAATAAACATTCGATCGTCGCGAGAATCAATTAGAATATAATCATTTTTTTTAGCGCAGCTGAGTAAACAAAGAGAGAGAGAGAGAGAGGCAGAAATCCGGAGCAAGTGTCATCGCGCGCGAACAGGCACACAGCTCTCTTATACGTGTATTTGTTTTATATAGGTAAATCGAACGTGGAAACATTGTGTATATATCGTGCACACACACACGGTATACAGCTGCTGTTGCTGCTCGCGTATATGTATTAAACTACGTAGGGATGCGCGCGCTGATAAGCAATCGCGTACACACGTACGTACTGCTCCCCGGCGCAGAGAGCTTTGGCGCTCCGACTGCGTCTGGCTCTACTCGGAGAATAGAGTTCGTGCCTCTGCGCGCACACGCACACCTCCTCCCACGTACACATGCATTTACATAAGCTGTGTGTGTGTGTGTGAGAAAGGGTAGTTGTTGGCTGCTGCTGGCTCTTGCTCCGCGCCGCGGCCCGAATAAGGGTCAGTGGGGCAGAGGCGCGCGAAAGCGTCGCTGCTGCTCTCGCTCTGCAGCGCAACGACGAATACGTTGTTTTTGTGCGACATCGGCGGCTTCGTTGATACAAAAATCACAGCACACACTGCTCTCTCTTCCTCTCTCTCTCTCCGTTGCTACCCCCTCGTACTCTCGTAGTAGTATCGTTAAAGCACGCGTATAGAGAGGGTAGGTGTATCAAGAGGAGCAGCAGCAGCAGTGGACTCGACGACGCTCGCGGATTAAAGGAACAACATGGCACTGATCAAGTGCTGCTTTGACGCCGAGGGCCCGGACTTCTTCGACTCCGTGCTCAGCAAGTGTACCGATCCTGGATGTGAGTCAGAATTGATATTACTTACTACGATTCATTTTTCTTATCTTCTTATACGTTTTAACGAGAGATCATTATTGGATGTACGTATACATGTAGTGTCCCGGGTCGACGCGCGCCACTTGTTAACGCACTTTTTCATGCGTGAAGTCTCTCTGTGTTATATATAAATGTGTATGCTGTACGGACGATGCCAGGCCACGTTTTATCGATTTACGCGCGCGGCACATCCTCCTCTCGGCATCTCTCGTGTGCACTGACTGGTTGAATTTGGATTCGTGTTTTCTAATCGTACGAGGTTGGAGTGCATACGAGTTTATGGTTTTAGTGAATGATTTTTTTTCTCAGTTAGTAGAGAAAATATCGTGAGCGGATGCTGTAGGAAGTCTTTGTAGATGAAATTTTTAAAACTATAGTCAATAAAGTCCGATGTATATCTAGTTCTTCAAATAGCTAAGCATACTTTTAAGGGATTTTTTTTAGTAAGAATCCTGAAAAATTTGTTCAATATAGCGTTGTTTTGAATATTGGCTTCGTTATTTACTCAATTTATGAGTCTTTATGACTGAAGCACGATATCATAATCTCTCCTTGTTTCTGCACTTTAAACTCTCACTTTACGAAATCATATTTATAATTATATAAAATCGCTCAATGCATAGTTATCAATGCTCATCGATACAAATCATAGAGCATAATAGTCTTAAAAATAATCCATTTCATTCGATCCCTACTCGTTTAAATATCCACGCCAAAGAACGTCAGTTACGATAAATAATAATTTATCCTTTTTTTTTACACATCGAAGCAACAAGTGTCGCCCGTTTGTCGTTACACTTTGTGTCTCATTCTGACTGCGCTGCTTATAGCATCGTTATAAGGTCGTGTGCAGAGAGCTATATTATAATTATGCACGTACGAGTCGCACACACACACACACACACACACACACACACATCAGGCGGCATTAATTAATGTATATTACGCGAGTCACAACGTGCGAAGTGCACTAGAAGGAGAAAAAAAGGGGTTCGTTTGTACTTTCTGTCCCAACCCTTTTTCCTCTCCCGAGCGTTCGTTCGATTAAGCACTTTTAACGCGATTATGGACGAAGACGAGAAGAAAGAAAAAGACGATTGAATCCGCGGATATGTAACAGGATATTCGCGCTTAAACGGGCGCAATAAAATACTTCGTGGCGCAGGAACGAATATCGTTTCGACGGATTTAACGAGTTTTATATGGTCCTGTTGGTCGAGCCAAACGTCCCGCGATTTATGTGGAATATATAGCTCCAAGCAAACCGATTGATCGTAATGCATATAGCTTTTGTATAGCATAGTATACGGTATACATGCGACATACATAGTCCCTGTGGACGAATACATAGTTTATGTCTGTCTGTGTGTTGCATACCTAGCTGTGTATATACTTCAAATAGATCAATGAGAGCAGAAAAAGAAAACAATGGTATTATTACGTGCTCGGGACTGTGTGCCTGTGCACTCGTATAGGCGCATCAATTTATGCTTGACTCGCGCGTGCAGCGAACCGCATTAAAAAACCACGAGGCTCTATGCGGGCCTAGCAGGCCAATACATTGAATTAGGATCGATATCGCGACAAAATGTAAATTCGACGAAATTCTTTGGGGTATCGATCTATTCAAATTGTTGACGGTACTCGTAAATTTAGGAACGTGCAGCCAAAATATTGTCATCACCTCCCGTGTGTACGTAAGTATTCGATTCAGTAGGTACTCGAAATTATCAAAAAATCAATCGATTTTATCCGCAAAATCTGTTGAACTTATCAGCTGTACTCGAGTGCTTATTGTTATTATATCGATCGAAACACGAGTATAATCCGACATTATGAAAATTTTACATTACTAAAAGAATTGAAAAATACAGTGGAACTCGATGATCGCAAAAAAAACACTATGTACGCCGAGATATAATATCCCTAGGAAATGTCACTGGCGTAGTCAGGCGAGATTCGCGATTCGTCGACGTCTTTCGTGCGCTTGCACGCGAGGCATTACGGTTCTACATTGGCGCCTCCACCGCCAAACACTAGGGACTTGAATATTGCATAATTATTCGCGTGTATACATACACGATATGCTTTCTGCTGTTAAAAATAGGCCACGCGTTATATATAGCTGTGTACGAGACAACAAAAAAAAAGAAAACACACGCTCGACTGCTCCGTGCAGCAAGACACGATCAGCAGCTATGTATAGTAATACAACAAATCAAAAGTCGAGGCAACGCTGCTTCTGCTGCGGCAATTCCAAACGCATTAGTATAGTGTTATCTAGCTGTCGAGGCCTGATATAGACACGATGGCACACACGCGCCATGATCGAGCAGAAGCTTATGTCTAAGGAGTTGTTGCTGCTACTATACTGCTGCTGCAACATCAAAGCCATACACGCACGCTTACGACAGTTGTCCCTGAAAAGTTTTTGATTGTGTGCGTGTGTGTTAGCGTGTATGCACACTGTGCTTTAGTGGCGCAGATGGTGGCAGGGCAGCAGGCATGACCCACGCGCGACCAAGTTTTAATATTTTATAATATATGTAGTTCGAAAGGCTCTATATACGACATCACAGTGCGCGCAATGAATAACAAACCTCCTGACTCGTGCCACGCGAAACTCGAAAGCAGTGTAGAAAAATAATACGTGGAATCGCGAGCGAGAGAACGAAATGGTCCGTATTTTTTGTGTCCGTGTCCGTGTGCGATTATCCGTGTAATTGTTTTGTTACGTATACGTGCGACTGCGAATTTTATATCGTTACGAGTGTGCAGATGAGTGGCTATTTTTACTGACGATTACACGAACGCGTGTCCAGTGATTCAGTTATTATTGTTACGCTTATACGGCATTAAAAAAAAAAAAAAACAGTGCAGACGTCGTTAGGCAGCGACGCCTCGAAATACAAGATCGAGAGAAAAATAAAAAATATCGCTGAGAAATATATTGGTGGAATGCAGGCTTGAGAGAACGAGTAAACTCTCTCGTGACGGAGTTTTGATCGATTGATTTTTGTACACACACACACAAACGCACCAAGCTCTTGACAATCCAATTTTTGACAATCTCTCTCGCTCGTTTCGTTTTTATCGCATATAAGCCAGCAGACAAATTCAGAACCATGTCGAACAATATTCTTAGTAATGTTTCATTTTATTATAATGATATTCCTTGTTGTTTGTTTTTGAGATTTGCTAAGCGAGCTCTTGTTTTCAGGCTGTTGCTGGTGCTGTTCAGCTCTGCGACCAAGGTACAAACGACTGGTTGACAATATTTTTCCCGTCAATCCGCAGGTAAGCTCACTTTTGCTCCAATTCATTGAGTTGACTTGTTCTCGAGTACTCATTAGTCATATTTATTTTGTTTCATTTAGGATGGTTTGATAAAAAATAATATGGAAAAGTTGATGTTTTATTCATTGAGTAGTCCAGAAAAGCTTGATCGAATTGGCGAATATTTATTTCAAAGGGCATCCAGAGACATTTCAAGGTAAGCAAAAACTTTTTCACCACAATAAGTACCCTCTAATTTGATCTTTCTTTTTGAAGGCGGAGGAATGGATTTGTTATTATTGCTATGGAAGCCATGGATCAGTTATTAGCTGCTTGCCATGCACAAACTTTGAATCTGTTTGTGGAAAGTTTTTTAAAAATGGTTCAAAAATTATTGGAATCTACAGATCCTCAGTTACAAATTTTGGCAACACAATCAGTAAGTACTAAAATTAAGTCCGGTGTTTGTCACATTTTATTCCTTTGACTTGTAAATTAATTTTCTGTGTGCATTTACTAACGTTTTCGATTGGAAATCGCTTAGTAATGTTTGCTACAAGAAAATTGATATCATTTTCAAGAATATTACACATTCATTAATGCATAGTTGAACAAACTACTTTTATCTCCCAGTTTGTTAGATTTGCCAATATCGAAGAAGATACACCATCTTATCACACACGTTACGATTTCTTTGTATCAAAATACTCTTCGATGTGCCACTCTAACAATGATGATCCCTCGATGCGGAAACAGATTCGGCTTGCAGGAATTCAAGGATTGCAGGTACTTTTTGCTATTCAATGTTTCTACTTCATTTATCATATAATATATTATTTCTGAGTATCGTTTCATTATAGGGTGTTGTGAGAAAAACTGTATCTGATGATTTAGTAGAAAATATTTGGAACATGGTACATATGGAAAAAATTGTACCATCATTATTGTACAATATGCAAAATTCAAGGTAAAAATTATAGAAATTTAGAATTAATAAAGTTGAATGTTCATTTATTATTTTTTTATCAACAGGTATTCAAATAACGACAATATTACCCCTGAAAGTCCAACAGAAGAAAGATCAGATCCTCCTCAATTCGCTGAAACTTGTATGAGAGAACTAGTTGGAAGAGCATCTTTTGGTCACATAAAATGTGTTATCAAACCAGTTCTCAATCATTTAGATAATCACCAATTATGGGTACCAAATTATTTTGCTATTCACACATTCCGCATTGTTATGTTTTCTATCCAGGTATATTCGATTAGCTTACTTACATAAAATAAGTGGAAGTAAAATAATTTAATCAATAAATCATCTTTTTAGTCCCAATACTCATATACTGTAGTTGAGGCTTTGATGACCCATTTGGATGAACATTCACAATCATCTCCAAAAATTAGAACAAGTATAGCTGATACATTGTCCAAAATTATATCCATAGCTGCTGGAGAAAGTGTTGGTCCTTCTGTTTTAGAAATTATAAGTTCATTATTAACACATTTACGAGTTAGTGTATCTAGAAATATGTCATCAACAAATGATGAACAACTGTATCAAGAAGTTTTGATAAATGCGCTAGGAGAATTTGCAAATCATCTACCAGACTATCAAAAAATAGAAATTATGAAATTCATTATGGGTAAAGTTCCATATGGTGATCCAGATTCAGTTACTTCTGCTGGAAAAGGAGATGTATTATTACAAAGCATTCTATTAAAATCACTTTTAAAGGTAACTTTTAACAAGTTTTTAATTGTTATTATTGTAATGATTTAAAATTTTATTAATTCTTAGGTTGGAACTAAATACCAAACAATACATCTAAATACTACATTCCCACCAAGTTTTCTTCTACCTCTACTCAATATGTCTCTGGCATCTGATTCTGAAATGCGATTACTAGTACAACAGATTTTTCATACTCTGATAGATCGGCATAAGAACAGTGATAAATTATCCAAACCAACGTAAGGCTATTTTTTAAAATGTTATAAAATATTTTTTCAACTGTGAGCTGTTGATAACGATAATTTCTTTCAGTGTTAATGTTGTGGAGTTGGATCTTGCAATTGAAAAAGCTACAAGACCTGATGTCATTTTCATTAGAAAATATGGCCCTGAAATTTACGTAATCTTGAAGAACTCATTGGAATTGATTAGTAATCGAGTGGAAAATATTGAGTCTATTTACACAACATTGGCTTTGCTGATAGTTGAACTTTGTTCAGAGGAAACAGTAATTGACATGTTACGATTAGTTATGGATTTGCAAGACATTGCGTTAAAAAATTCCCAAATCAGTATAGCAATCAAATTCAATTTACATGTTACAGTAATAAGTTTGTTGGTTTTGATTGCAAATGTATGTAATATTACTACACTAATTGACTATGCAAATAAGGTAAATCAATAAATTTTTAAATAATAATCATACTTTAAATATTATTCATGCCTAATTACTTAATTTACAGATTGTTGAAAGTCGCAGTAAAGAAGCACCACATTTACTTCCCGATCTAAAGTCACAATATGATTCATCTTTGCCTTCAAAAATACCAAATACACTTTTAGTTGACCAAACGATTGTAATGGAATGCCTCAAAGTGATTGGATTAGAAACAGGGAAATTACAACAAGCAGTTGGATATAGTACTTCTTTGCAGTATAGGTAATTAATTTTAACAATTGACTTATTTGAATTTATGAAATTATATTAATTGATTTATTTTTCTAAGGCACTCTTGGGTTGATAACCCAGGAAGAAGTTCTTTAGGAGACATAAACGGTGGAGCTGAATTGGATAGTGCTGGATCATCTCCTGGTGTACAAAGGGTACATTATTTAAGTTAAAAAATATGCACTATTAAAAATAATAGTTATAGTAAAAATTAAAATTTTTTTTTGACAGAAATTACCAGTAGAAGAATTAACATTTGAAAGTATGAAAAAGATATTAACTGAAACTAACAATGATCAAGAAGTGGAAGATGAGAAAAGATTGCAACTATCTCATTTATTCAGAAATGCTCCGTTTCAAGATCTTGTCAAAAAAACACAACCAAAGGTAAATTGAAGAGATTTTTTTTATACATATATTAATTGATTATAAAACTAATAGAAAATTTTATTCTAATAGCATGAAGTTTTGCAAAGCAAGTTATCTGATATCTTCAACAACTTGATGATTGAGCATCGTTCGCCACCAACATCAGCTACTTCGCCACCAGAGTCTAAATTGCAAACCCCAGCTTATGAATTACATTTCCCAGAAATGTTTGTTTGTTAATTAGTGCAATATTTTCAAGTGATATTTGAATGCATCGAGTGCAACGGCTATGTTAAGCAAGTTAAAAAAAATTGTTTAGTAAATTATCAGAAGACTTGTTGATAACTGAAAATTGTATATAACTCGTAAATGTACATATTAATGTTATTCGTTCAAAATTATTTATGAATAAGTATCATTCTAAAACACAAAATGATGTTACAAATGTTATAAATATTATTATGCCTGTTAAAATGTAAAACTGTATTGATTAAAGTTATCATGTTCCAAAAAGTCTGAACTGAATGAATAACTGGTAATTTTTGTAACTATTTGCAAATATTAAAAAAGTACACCTCAATGGCAGACAGAAAGTTTTATTGTTTTGGTATTTTGAATTACAATATACAATAGAACTGTTAAGTGAAGTTTATACAAAATTTTTAATAAGAAAAATTATCAAATTGAAAGTATCAATAATTGGAATGAACACAAATATTAAAATTTCAAATGCTTCAAGAATAATTCAATCGCTTTAATTTGCAGTAGTTTCTTTTTGAAATCATGCATAAAATTTTACTTTATACACTATTCATTTGAGTAAAATTGCTTTGATTGATGTTAAATGAATTTATTCTTTTCTATACATTTTAAGTTAATGGGTTTGTTTTTATTACTGTCTGCAAATTTTGCACTAGTAACATAAGATTAAAACGATTGAATTTAATTTAATCTTGTACAAAATGCCATTCAACTTAAACTAATTTGTAGAGGTTCTTCAGTTTTTGGCACCTCAGTTGTCCTGTGCCATAGGAAAACTCCAAAGATCGTGGCTTGCAGAATGTTGCCTTACTCCACCTTCAGGAGTTCAACATCGAAGATAAGGGTAGCATTTGGTGGGATAGTGTTGTAATGTCAAGGATAAATATGTTTTGTACTTTTAAACTATTCAAAATTATAAATAATATAATGTGAAATGTTTATGAAAATTAAAGAGTCTACTATTCTCAGTCCAAATATTTTCTAAAATCATATTCATTAACTTTTAAAATGCACTCTTTTGGAAAAAGTTGTTATACAATTCAAGTATTATAAATGACAAAATATTAATCGTATAATATTCACATTTTTCAGACCCAGAATAAGCAGACTCAAGTATGATCATTCAATTCAATTGATTTTGCAATCGAACAGAATGAAATAATTAAATTGAAATATGTATAAAATTGCATTAAAGGATATACGCCAGGGTGTCCTCTTGGACCGTATGCAACCTCAGGTGGGCAAGTTAGTCTGGCACGTTCACCAACAGACATTTGTGCTACTCCTTGATCCCAGCCTTTGATTACTTCACCTTTGCCAATTTTGAATTTGAAAGGTGTTCCACGGTCTCTGCTTGAGTCAAATTTCTTTCCATTAGTAAGGGTACCTGACGAGTTAAAACTTTAATTAGTTTCTCCCGTGGAGGATATTCTTCACTTTTCAATAAAAAGTAAATTAAAAAACAAATAATACCTGTGTAATGGACAACCACGGTTTGACCGGTTTTTGGGTAGGTTGAACCTGCATAATATTAAAAAATACAATTTCATTCATAATAATTTTTTTTCTCCTTTCAATTCATCACTAAAGTTTATAGTGCATTGATCGATGCAAATCACCAAACATATATTCATTGATCTAGAATGAAACAAATACATTGGCGGATTTTCATCGTTTTCGTCATACATTTCAGCAAATTTTTCACCGAAAGATGCGAATTCGCAGTGTCCGTTAATAACGAGCAGAAATGTCGATTATGAAAATGTAATATTTAGCAGCGAAATTGGTACACCGCAAGAGGTTAAGATATTGTACTATTGAATTTTATTACCATCTCCGGGGGAAATAACTTCGACACTGACTCCCATGACTGCTCGTAGTAAATGTATCTGCAAAAATACACACAAACCAAATGATTATTACGTATTAAGCGTTGACTCTATCTATCGAGATCTTCGTAGAACGCGATTTTGAACCTTTTGCAAAACCGTGTTCGAGCGCGAGATGAAACTTTACCTGTGATGTGGCGAAAGAGCAAACGGCAATTGAGTAAAAACGGGGCGAAATATATTGCGGCGACACAACGCGCGAGCTGAAAAGCCACCGCTAATACGGTATATATATGGGCGCCGCAGATTCGCGCGATGCGCAAACTCGCCATGGGATGGGGGGGCCGCGGCCGCCGGCGAGCCCCTGACTTCCGCCACCGAGCAGGCAGAATTGCGACATCCAGGCTTGTCTGTGTTTATGTGTCATATCGGTGTGGTAGTCGCCGTACATAAAATAGAAGGCCCAATTCGAAATTCGGCACTGCGATCGATGAGTTTCTGTGAAAAATTGCCGCGCGCACATATATGGACACGCAGACACACGTCTATGATATGGAATTATAGGCGCTTTTGCCACGAGTTGACTCGCGCCACGTCAATTCCGCTTGAAATAGTTGTAACTTCCGATGAGAATTTTTGCAGCGCTAAATTTTGAAAGTATCGAATCCCAATGACACGACGGTTGGCGATCGAAACTTCCCTCGTTCTAATAAATGACGGTTTTCAAAGATTAGTCAGAAATATATTTATCATATAAACTCAGTAAAAAACAGTTTTAATTTTATTTGGTATGAAATTACAAAATGTATTAATGAAATTAATCTAATATTCAGAACAAATGATTATCGTAATTATCATTTTTAATTTGATTGTTGCTCGTTCCGAGTTAACGGCTGTTGCGTCGACGATCCTCGACGGCGCGCGCCTCCGCTGTATCCTAATCCTCCTCCATATTCTTGAGCTAGTTTCAAGCGTTGAACTGTTGATCGAAATGAATCGAAGTAAGATCGTTGGTACAGAATTACGGTGAAACTTAAAAACATTGATGAAATAATATACTGACGATAAGATAATGCACCACAGTTTCTCCCGAACCGTCCCCGGCCGCGCCTACGCGCGAAGTTCGTCGGACTACGCGGAGCCGGTTGATCTGGCGATTCTTGCACGTCCATGGCTCTTTCGTCCGACCGTGGCTCGTTGATCTAAAAAAACAATTAAAATCATACGTGAAATATGAAAAATAAGGCTCTTTGGTGATCAAAAATTCAGTTGATTGTTACGTTTTCATTTGTTCTTCCTACTTCGGGGTTAACGTTTAGCGGTTGTTCGTTGCTCATGGTCTGTAATTAAAATAAAATTCTCTCTTTATACTATTCTAGTTTATCGTGTTTGAAAACGATTGAATAAATTTGAAAATAATGATACTTGCACTAGTCATGATGATTCTTCGCGATGCTCGATTCAAACTGATTTGTTTATACTGCCGCTTACAGTGGCGCACTTAAGTCAGACGAGCGAGAAAAATGCATCTTTTGATACTTGTGGTAGTCATTTTGCGATTGTAAATTGACCACTTTGTGACAGCCGAATGAATTGTCGAACGATCAAAACTTCGTTCGAATTTCAAATCTTATCGTTTTAATTGATAAAAAAGAGAAAAAAAGGGTATTGGATTTAAATTCCTTCGGCAGTAGCGGTGTTATCTTCTTCGGGTTGAACAAATAAAAACTACAGTTTTTACAACTAGGTTTTTTTTTAAACACTAAAACTTTTTTTTAAAGCCGATTATAAATTTATTTTTGTTCTTTGACTCGTGATATACATCTAGTTGTTGCACATTTCAACTTAAATTAATGATTACACTTTGATTATAATAGTACAATTTGATTATATTAGTATGAGACCATAATGCAATTATTGAAGTGATAATTGCAATCATTGTATTGAAAAGTTAGAAACATTTCAATTTCTTTGTACAAATAATTTTTCATTAGAAATTTACAATATAAATCCACTCTGTTGTCCAAATTTATAAAGTCAAGTCTATATAGCTTTGGATATATGTTTGAGATTCAACATTTCATAAAATTTAAAGTCTTTTTTTTGCACATTCACACAATTCAGACTATATTGTTATTGTTACACAATAGACATCTATTAGTTAGGTAAAATTAATGCATAATTTACAGTTTTTGTTGTTCTGATCTCACGTAATTTTTTACAATGCCTTAGAGCAATTAATAAATTTAATTTCGTTTTATCAAGTCTTGCTTTGATGTATTTTTCATAATCTTCTGCCGTGAAAAAATAGGTATTTTCTGGAAAAATAGTTTATAATTAATTTTCAAGTTCTTGCAATATTATTTTAATATTTCTGACATATATTATTACCTTCATCTGGTCCCAAGTTCATTTGTTCTTTTTTGTAATGTAAGTACAAATCTAACTCTCCTTTTTTTCTGGATCCATTTTTCCCCAAAGCAATTAGTGAATACTTTGATTTGATGATTTGGTTGATACTAGATACTAAGCTGTTAAGAGTATCAATAGTATGCCTTCCAATTATATACTTAGGAAGTTTACTAAATTCACTTGGAGTAATTGGTATCATTTGAGGTATTTCAGGTTCATTGAATAATGTTTTTTTGCAGTTTTTCATAGCTGTAGTGGCAGTGGTATTGATGGTATTGTTGGCATTCTGGGCATCACTGCCATTGAATGTAGCATTATTGAATGTTGTGTTATTGAATGATGCATTTTCATTCTTTTCTTTTGGTTTGGAACTATTATCATCAGTATTATTATTAGTTGGAATTTCAGATTTAACATATTCTTGAATTTTAAGAGGAATATTTTGTTCCATATGCCTGATTTGGTTATCCAAAGATTTCAGCAAATTTAATAAGTCCTAGAGAAAAATTCAATTAAATTATACCTTAAAAAGAAAAGAATATTGTTGCAATTAACTTACTTTACACCGATCATTGTCTACTCTCATTATTTTAACATCTTCTTTCAAATCTTGAATATCTCTTGCAATAGAACATACTTCTCCATAAGCAGTGACAAGTTCTTCTTGAATAAAACTTTTACCTGAACATAAAAATTTTTTTAATTACTTGATTGTCAATTTTAATGTATTTCAAAATTTAACTGTAATAACTCAATGGTAATTAAAAACTCACTTTGTATCAAATCTGTAGCTGTTTCTAAATCTTGCAACTTTTGTGTTTGCACTGTCAAAAGATTCTCCAAGGATTGATAGGAAGCCATTGTGACAGTTAATTTTTTTTATCAGTTCAATCAGTGATCATGCACTCAATTACGCATATTTATCTAAAAAATCAGTAATTAAATTCCAATAAAAAAATTTTTACAGAATAACATTATTTATTGTGTTTACATACAATATATTATAATTTTATTCATTTGAGGTTAAAAAGGGACGCCGCACAAGTTATTTACAATTGTTGAATGTAAAGTATGTCACCGAAACGTCAAAATTATTTATATCACTTTGGCATTCAAAATCACTACAATAATCCAAGCATAGCATAAAAATTATTACGAATTTTCATTTTTGAATGTATATTTTGAAGACTTTCAAATTTCAAACGCATGAAAATATAAATACTGACGCATGTCGCATCGCATTGTGCTGTGTGGCATATATAATATATCTATATATTTTGGCCGGCAAAATGGATTTTCAGAATTCAACGCGACATCTGTGCACAAATGTGCGAGAGGTTATAGCAGACATACTTACGAATGCGAGTAGTTCTAAAAAATTAGAAAAACATTGTGTTTAGAAACTGGTGCATAAAGAATCTTGACAAAAATGTCGAAAGTTGGAAAAATGAAATTCGCTAAAAAAGCGGCTGAAAAAGTTATACATTCGGCAGTGCTCAAGACCAATATACCTGCAGGATTAGCTAATCCTAGTCCACCCTTAGGTCCTCAGTTGGGTCAAGTAGGTTGATAACAGCTTGATTTATTGAAACATTTTGTAGAAATGTTCATAGATAATTTGCTGGAAAAAATTTGAAACACTGTAATGACAATTTTTATCAATTTTATAGCGGAATATAAATATAGCTGCATTTGTTAAAGACTTCAACGAAAAGACAGCTCATATCAAACAAGGTATTCCAATCCCTTGTAGAATAAAAGTAAACCCAGATAGAAGTTATGAGTTGTACATGACTAAGCCCCCAGCTGTCTATTATTTAAAACAAGCAGCTGGAATTCAAAGAGGGACAATGGGAGGTGCGTTCAATCAATTTTGAAACTACATGTTTTGCATCTCATTTAGTTGTGCATTAACTAATTTTTAAATGAATTTCAGGCGATGAAGTTGTTGGAAAAGTAACTCTTAAACATTTATATGAGATAGCGCTGATAAAATCTGAAGATGAGGCTCTAGCATTGATGTCTTTACAACAGATAACACAAATGTTAACGGGTATAGCACGATCTGTTGGTATTGAGATTGTTCGTGATTTAGATCCAGTGGAGTATAAGAAATTCTTAGAAGAAAGAAAAGAAATAGTCAAAGAGCAAATTGCCCAATTACAAGCAGTAAGAGAGGCAAAGATGCTTCGTACTGGTTAAATGTCAATATGAATTGTATAGTTGTAGAAAATTTGTTGATTCTGTATTTTATGTAAATAAAATTAGGTTTAAAAATGTTTTGCCAAACATTAACTATTTCTTTGTATTTATTATTCTTTTCCCAAGCAAGCTTTTTAATTTTATTTGATCAGATAAACTTGAGCAATATCAAAGGACAAAAGTTAATAAAAGTATCAGCTTATTATTTTTATATCATTGGTTTATATTTATAAATAAAGTACAGGTAGATGAATCATTTTTAATAATAATTGATTTATTGAAAATAAATAACTTTTAAGATGAAATGTTTGTACAAAATATGTTTATCATGTTCAACAGATATAAACTTTTACATTTTTTTATACAAGCTAATAACAACACATTTAAAAATATGTGTATTTATATAGCACCAGGCAATATAAATTATATTTCATCTTGAGAATGAAATGAGAATTGTTCTCTGAATACTATTATGTATACATTTACATTTTTTGAACAGAAACAACAAAATATGGCAATGAAAGATTTTGTATTGTTTTGATTGATACATATGCATTATATAAGCCATATCTTTGGTGATTTTGTCATTTATGTTTATAAAATAATTTTATTATGGCTTGGCTCAAATATTTCATTTAAAAAAATTAAAATAATTGTCAATAATTATAATAGATGGTTAAAATTCAATGCATAAAAAATCAACTTTCAACAAAATATTTACATATTTATACAAATATTGTACAAACCACTATTTGGTCAATCATTTAAAATTTTCCATTTCTTGCATATCATTATTTAAAAAAAAATGTATTGTTCACCCCAAAAACTCATCTTGATTCCATATTGACAAAATACTTTGTTTAAGACTAAAATTGATTAAACCCAAGTATCCATAATAAACAAATATTTTAAATAGAGACCACTGTTCCTGTAAGGAGGTAAAGAACCTAGACCAAGTAGTGGAACAATTTCTTAACTTTTCACTATAAACAGATTTCACACAACATCTTGACATTTGCAAAAATGCAGACATTCTTGTTTGAGTTTTCAAATTAAATTCTATATTGCGTATTAAATCGTTTGTCTTTAATACTAATAACATATGCCTGTCAACTCTTTCTAAAACTTCAGTAATTTTAGGTAAAAGATCTGGAATTTCTTTTTGGAAAAGTTCTTTTTCTTTTGAACTATATTTGGTTTTTTGTACTCCACTCATAATGGTGTCCCAAGTTCTACCTGAAACCATGCAAGCAAGTAATCCATACATATCACCAACTCCTAAATTGGTGCAGTGTTTTTGCATAGCAACTTTGTCACTATTTAAAATAGCAAGCCACAATTTAGAGTACTCCCATCTAAATTCATTGGATAGATCTGCATACAATCCATGATCCAAAAGTACAACTTCAGCTTTATTATTTCTTTTTCTGACAATAATATTTCCTGGATGTGGGTCTGAATGGACAAATCCAGTAATAAATATCATATGGCTGTAGAGATCGCCAATTTTATTACTAATTTCAAGTGGATTAATTTTATTTTCTTTATAGTAATTTAAATCATCTACTTGTCCACCTTCTATGTACTCCATTGTTAAAACACGATTGGATGATAAATTCCAGTGGATTTTTGGTACAAACAACCAATCATAATTAGTAAATAAACTTTTTAGTTTTTCAGCATTTTTACCCTCTCTAGTAAAATCAAGTTCTCTGGGAATATTCTTTTTTGTTTCGTCAACAAGCCAGTCAAATTTGAAGTCAGGAAATACCCATGAAGTAATTTTCACTAATGCAGACATAGTTTTGATATCTACATACGAATTTGATTTCACAGATCGATGTTGTACCTTTACTGCTACCTGACTTCCATCTTTTAAGGTGGCTTTATGTACTTGAGCTAAGCTTGCAGTGCCTAGCGGGTTCTTATCAATAGATTCAAATATTTCGTAAGGATCCGCTTTAAAATCTTCTTTTAGCACTGTCAAAACATCATTAAAATTAGATTGAGGAGCAGAACTATGCAGAACCTTCATTGTTTTAACATATTCCTTGGGTAAAAGATAATCTAAAGCACCAATGTGCTGGCCAACTTTTATGTATACTCCTTTATTGGCGCAGCAGAGTTCCAATAATTTTTGAGCCCCATATGTGTGTGCATCTGACTTCTTCTCTAAATATTCTTTTGAGTCTTTTTCTAAACCACTGTTGTATAAATGTTTTTTATAATGTGAACCAATTTCAAACACTGTTACTGCAGCTCTTCCTAATCTGACAATCCCAATAGATCCAACGTCATATTCATTTGCTCTTAGCGAAGCAAAAGTACCAATGCCCACAGCAACAGCTCCACCAATTTTCAGAGTTCTTTTGGAAACAAACATCTTTAATTTTATCTGAAAAGCAAAGTAATAGCATAATTAATGTGTACACAGTCTAACTAAAACTAAATGTAGACAAGGAAATAGACACATATGTCATAGATACATGCTATGTTAGTAAAGTTATGATGTAACTGCAACTGTCATTGTGAAATGTTTGTTAAGATTTTTTTAAATTTCAATATTATTGGCCAAAGATTTAAATTTGAATTTAAAAATTTCGATTTAATGCAATAAAAATTCACGTATCATCCATTTGAATGATGAACTCACTAGTAATAACCTGAATAAAATCCTTTAGACGTTATTTCGAATCCCCACAGACCAACTTTCACATTGGAAATTGCAATCAAAATTGACATAAAATAACGCGATTGAAGTTATTAGTATATAAAGTATTTGATTTTCAAAAAAACGTACCTTAAACAATTTTAATGTTGATTAAAATCGACGTTCTTATAACCTAAGAATAACTCATATGGATTAATGCTTAATGGATATTAAAATACTTTCTCTTCTCACTGAGTAGGGGAATTTCTTTGGTGTAGCCTACTTATGCTTAAGTACAAATTAAAAATACTGCTTAAATTAGTGATGCTTGTAATGTTATGCAAGCTCAAATTAAAATAACTCGAATCTCGCATGATTCGTCGGTGATATCGATACGATATACTCGCGAGTCGCGATACAAATCAGCTAAATATGAAAATGTCTGTCCCACCCGCACGTAACGGACAAAAATTTAAGCACTTCAAAAGTAATTCAGATTTCGCGTTAAATTGATTTATTTTTTGCAAATTTATTAATTACGTTAAATTTAACGATCATAACGTTGCCCATCGCCCCGAAAACGTACTAACGTTTATTTCATTGTTTTGCGATGTATAATGCTAATGTAGTACTCATTAGATGCGTTTCTCATAGCTAATTGTTCATTGTATTAAAATGAATTTACCAACAAAGTGAATGTATACAGTGGAAACTTTTCTAAAACACGTGAAAATATAATGTATGGTTGGGGCATGAATTTCAATATTAAGATGAAAAAGTTTTGGACAAAATAATTATATTTATCAATAGTGATGTAATTAACATTTTATTTTTTCCAATTATTCAATAAAGCTAAAGCAATTTACAAGAATCTTATATGAATTATAATTGTTGTGATTTATTCAAAATTTATACTCGTGTTTTTTCAAATTTATACAAAAACAATATGATAAATTAAATAATTCAAGTACAGAAAAATATCATCAACTGATAAATGTCAACCTTGTGCTTGTAACAAAAAATTATTGAGCAGATATGTAATACAAAAGAAATTACATAATTATGTACAATGACAAACATTATCATAAAATTAAAAATAAGTATAAACTTAAGCTCATATACTTGAATTAAAAGTTTAACTTTTTTCCATCGAGAAATGTTTTATTTAGATAGAAATAAATTAAAAAAAAAAAAAGAAGAAGAAGCAATCGGCTCACAAAGATCGAGCGCTAATTCTTTCGATATCCGGCTGAGAATCAATCCGTGAGTGCATCATATTTTTACATTTAAATGAAAAAAAAAGTTTAATACATAAGTCTTCGCAGCAATACTATAAAGCACATCTATTTCCTTTGGGATTGAACCATATACTGTACAATAAAAAACTGAAAATAATTTCGAATTTGTCAACTCTCGGCGTACTGAAACGTGCCCGCGTGACTCGTACATTCATCGATCCATTCATCGCTGCGACGCTTGCTGCATCAGAAGATTCTGTATAGAGAGAGAGAGAGAAAAAAAAAGTCAACGTTAATAAATCGTTCAACGTCCGGTAAAAATCTGCACCTTATATATACCTTCAACGGTTTGATGGCGTTGGTCAGCTGCAATCCGAGACTGCGGGCGAGGACGATGGGCGTCGCCGTGCCCTTGTACAGCCTGTGCAGCGCGTCGATGGCCAGCATCGTCGGTATGTTGCTCCACTGCCTCATGCTCTCGTACTTGTTCAGGTAGGCCTCGTCCGAGACGACGGCCCCGTGCTCGACGGCGTCGCCGAGCACCTGGACCAGGGCCGTGACGTCGCCGAAGCCCAGATTGACGCCCTGACCCGCGAGCGGGTGGACTCTGTGAGCCGCGTCGCTGTAATATCACAAGAATCGATCGTTGAATTGGCAAAGTCGAATCGAAAATTTATTATATAATATTTTGAAAAATCTTATACCCGACTAGAGCGACACCCGGTTGGACGTATTTCACGGCGTGACCGAATCCCAGCGGGAAGGCGGCTCGCGATCCCTCGACGATGTGCGAGATCGAGGGCTGCAGCTGTCTCGTGGCTCCGTTCTGCAGCTGAAGATCGTCGAGCAGTTTGGTGAGTCCCTTCATCGCCCCCTCGACGATGGTGTCTTTGGGATAGGACTTCCACAGAGCGTCGTTCAGGTTGTCCACGAACTCTTCCTCGGAGGCTTTGAGCAATCTCTTGGCTTCCTCGGTCGTCATCGACCAAACCAGAGAGCTCAGTGAACTCGTCAACTGCGAATTATGTGGAAAATTGATTGGGTTCGAGTAATTATTATTATTATTAATTTTTTGAATGAATTACATATCGCATCGACTCACCGGCAATAGGGCTACGGGTCCGGTTGGTAAAAATCTCTGCCAAGCGACGATGTTTTCCGTAGGCTGTAAAATAAATTTAAACTTAAATTTGTGTCGAGTTTGAAGTTACGTTGTACTGAGACATTTTTCAACGTACCTCGGATAATTGAACCGTAGCGACGATGCCCATCTGTCCGTAATCCCAGTCGACGTACTTGGCACCCATGGCTTGTCGGACCCGCGATTTATGCCCATCGGCTCCGATCTGCAAATAAAATCGATTTTTAGCACAAAAAAGGATAACAACTAAAAACATCGTTAATATAACCGCAACTCGAATTCTTAGATCTACGCATGGCTGGAACGAGTCCTATATACTTATGTTATTACAGCGCGCTGCGAGTCTAAACACGCATTCGAAGTCTTTGTAGTTTTCCGGAGGGCAACAAACATTTGTTTTCCATCGATATTATGTATACAATATCATGGGAGGGAAAGAAATTCTGGAGTGATGTCATGATCATTCGTCTTTTTAAACGGTGGGCAAGATTAACGATTGTGCCTCGCGTGCACCACAGCAAAATACAATAATAACAATAACGTCGAGTTATGGGGAAGCGATTCGAATCGGAACAAACGTTAAACAAAAGTCTCCGGAAATAGCTCCTCCTCCTCTTAGATTCGAACGCGCGATAGATCGACTCATCCGCGCGAGTAAGAGAGAGAGGATCTAATCGTTGATTCTCTCGTTGTTTTCTTTACTGCCTTTCATTTAATTCCAAAAGTGTGTTTGTTTACTGTTTAATTTAATCGCGCGATTAGAGGCGTAAAACTTCTGCATTAGAAATAGATCGTAAACGATTTATATTTTACAAGCGTACAATAAAAGTTTTGATTAATTCACAAAACGCGTATGTATATTAAAAAAATTGGGGGGACAGGAAAAATATCTCGAAACTCGTTTCACAATCCCGATCATCGTTTCCACGGCGGCGACAGAGACTACGTCAGTGCGGTCGTCGTCTTCGTCGTATGCGCATCTAGAAGTATCAAAAAGAAAATAAGAAGAAAAAAGAACAAAAAAAAATGATTCGCCGATTCGAAAAAATCGAGCCCGCCGCGAGATCCTCTCTATAAAAAATCCAAACGCTAAAAATAAAATCCAGTGCGCGGTGAATAGCGTACGGTGGTAGTCATCGGGCGCGCGATCGGCAGCCGCGGCAGTAGCTCTCTCTCGTTCTATCCGCGATCATCATCATCGCGCGAGACGACGACCACGACGACGAAAAAAGTGCATCATATTAGAAAACAGGAAAACGACGACGACGACGACGCGCAGTAGCAGCATTGTTCGAAGAAATCGAGCGCGTATAGAAGAAGAAAAAGAAATCAAAAGGTTTTTAACCGACAACTGCATGCGCGCACGCGGTATAGTGAAATTGTTGAGATGATATAGTTTTTTATTTATTATTTTGTGTCATTGAGCAGCGCGACGACGACGACGACGACGACGACATTTTTCAATCGCCGCGGAGAGTCTTGGTCGCTCCGAGATCTCGAGAGAGAGAAAATTGAGTCAGCGAGAAGATACGCGCGCGGTTGTTTATACGACTTTGATTCTTTAGATAGATATATACAGAGAGAGAGACGTTTGGATTTGCCAACGTCTCTTGAGACAGAGAGAGAGATCCATTAGATGTTCGTTTGGAGAACGTAGACGATCGAGACTGAACCAGATTTTATTTTTTCAATCGGTTCGTTTATTTATCTTATTTTTTTCTCGCTAAGCTCGCAGAAAACAAAAGCGCGATGTCGAACGAAAGGACAAAAACTCAAGAGTCGCCGAGTGTTTACATCGATGTCGAGGTAAGAGAGTATAATATTTTCACAGACTTTTTTATTCGCGAGTAAAAAATTTCGCTTTCGTTTCCAAGTATCGCCTATAATATGAAAGAGCTTTTGAGTACGAAAAAATTCCTCTCCTCCTCCTCCTCGCAGCAGCAGCAGCAGCACGATGCGATGCTCGACGCCCCGACGTTTATTTTGAACTGTCATTAGTTAATTGATAATTCGCGAATCGTTAAAATGAAAATGCAGAGAGAGAGAGAGAGGCCGAGCGCGCTCGTGTGCGCGAGCAAGGCACTTAATCTCCGTACCCAAACAAAGCTCCGCATTTAGCCTAACACAACAACTCGCGTCCTATTACACCAGCGATCTCGCTCGTTCGTCCGCGTGTAATAACGTATAAGTGTGTAAACCTCGCGTGTAATTGTTGCTGCTCGAGCAGAAAAACGGCAAGCAGCAGCCACAGGTCGCCTGGCTGGACAAAGTCAAACCAAAAAAAAACAACGACGACGAGGAAGACGACGACGACAACGACGAGAAGAAGAAGGAAAAAATGATGGACGAGGAGGACAGCGCGAGCATCTCGTCGGAGTCGAGCTCGGTGCAGCCGGCCGAGTGCAGCATGAGCGGCGCGGGCAACAACGACGATCGGTATCATCACTCAGCTAACAGCGAGCAGCATCGCAGGCAGCACCTACGGCTGCTCTGGGACCGCGAGGAGATCGAGCGATCGCTGGCTAGGCTGCCCGCGGGCGAGGCGGCGCTCAATCTGCTGCCGAGCTTCACCCAGCCGGAACAGGTCGACGCCATCGCGGACAAGATCAAGGATCAGAAGATATGGCAGTCGGACGATCCGTTGTTTCTCGTGCCTACCTTCGCCAGCGGGTAAATATTATTATTATTACTGTTATTATCGAGTGCTTTCTCGAATCTTGCCGATTTTTCTACTCGATTTTTTTTGTTAACTGTTGTTTTGCAGTTACGCGAGAAAAGCATCGCTGCTGGCGGAGAACGAGGCCGCGCTGTCGTCGAGCCTGACCGATCTGATAATCAAGTGGCCGAGCACCTGTCTGCTGGTGGCCACCTGGCTCAACAACGAGGGCCTGGTCAAACTGCTGCTGGACAAGGGAGCCCGGCCGAGCTGTCGCGACGCCGATGGAAGGTCGGTGAGTTCGAGCCGCACACACATGCGAGTCTTCTCGATTAAAAATACCAATCCGTGTTTGCGTTTTTTCAACAGAACGGCCCTGCATCTGGCGGCGAGCTCGGGCCAGTCGGCGGGCATCTGCGAGCTTCTGCTGGCCCACGGCGCCGAGCCCAACGAGTGGGACTTCGGCCGCATCTGCACCCCGCTGCACTGCGCCGCGGCCGCGGGCTGCCCGCGCACCCTACGGGCCCTGGTGGAGGCCAAGGCCGACGTGAACGCCGGACTGTCGGGCAAGAGTCCGCTGCACTACGCCGTCCAGAGCAACTCGACGAGCTGCACCGAGGCGCTGCTGCTGGCCGGTGCCTCGCCCAATAATCCTCAAGTGAGTTTTCGTGTACCGATTTTTATCGGTATAATTGCAAATAAATCGATGGATGGTTCACGTAATGATTTAAATTGACTTTAAATCATTCTGCTGGATTAATAGGTAAATTTAAATTATCCAGTTAGATTAGCGATCTGGGTGCAGATTTAAAAAAAAAAAAAAACCAAATCATTTGAAATCGAGCTGTTCCTGTTAAAAAATAGTGTGTTTTAATGCCTATTTCGACTTGATAATCCATACAAAAGTGGCCATTGAGTTGAGTGAATCCCATGTAGATTTTTACAAAGATTTATCGGTTGAAAAATTTACATCGATTTCCAGCTTTCCTTATGAAAAAAAAATGATTAACACGAGTATTTTTGACGTAAAAATGTAATAGGAAACCAATATGAAGATCAAAGCTTTTCGACCTGGAAATCTATGTAGAAATCTACATTAAAATACACTCCACTCCATATCGATTTCGATATGTATTTTCAGGTCAAAATCTACACAGAAATCCACAAGGGCAGTTGGACAATCCAAAATTCAGCTAGATTTCTAGATATAAAATCCAACTGGATATTCAATCTCAAAGTCTATCAGCTCGATTTTTTTTTCCAAACAACTGGGTAATCGATACTTTTTTTTCTGCAGGTGTACACGGAAACGCCGCTACACGTCGCGGCGAGCCTGGGCCTCGCCGACTGTCTCAAGCTGCTGCTGGCGCACGGCGCCGACGTGCGGGTGCGCTACGGCGAGGCGCGGGTCACCCCGCTGCACCTCGCCGCGGAGGAGGGCAGCTACGAGTGCGTCCGACTGCTGCTGGCTGCGGGGGCGCCCGTCGACGCCAAGAACGCCCGGGGCCAGACGGCCCTGCACCTCGCAACCCTGGCCCAGTCCGTGGAGACCGTGGAGATACTGCTCGAGGCCAGGGCCCAGGTCGACGCGCAGGACGACAACGAGCGGACGGCCATGCACGCGGCGGTGGTCAAGTCGATACGCAGCAACGAGCTCATACGCGCCCTCATACAGGTATTATTTTATCATTTTATCGTTATTTAACAACGTCATTTTATAAATTATTACAGGCCGGCGCCTCGGTGGACAAAGCCGACAAGTTCGGCTACACGCCGCTGCACATCGCCGCCCTCAACGAGAGCTCCTCGGTGGTCTCGCTGCTCATGAGCAAGGGCGCCGATCTCACGGCCAAGACCAAGGGTGGCATCTCCGCCCTGAGCTTCATCGTCCGACGCACTCCGGAGGTGCTGCCACGGCTCGTCAAGCGCCTCGATCACGCCGTCTCGCTGCACGACCACGAGCTCGGCGACGTCGACTGCGAGCTGCGCCTCGACTATCGGCCCCTCGTCCAAGCTTCCTCGTCGTCGTGCCAGCCGCAGCAGCAGCAAGCCGCGCGCGGCGAGAGCGACCTCATGCTCTGCCTCGTCGAGGTCGGCCAGGGCCACGTTCTCAAGCATCCGCTCTGCGAGAGCTTCCTCTATCTCAAGTGGCTCAAGATACGCAAGTTCTTTCTCTTCAGTCTGTGCTTTCACTCGGTCTACGTGGGCCTGTTCACGGCCTACATCGGCCTCACCTATCTGTGGGAGGTGCCGCGCGCCGGCGACGTCCTCTTCTGGTTCGTGCTCGCCTTCATCATGGCCCTGGCCTCGAAGGAGCTGTTCCAGGTGGCGCACGGCATCACGATCTACGCCAAGGGCTGGGAGAACGTGCTCCAGTGGAGCGTGATCGTGAGCTCGGCCCTGGTGCTGGTGGAGCCGCGTCGCGACTGGCAGCATCACGTAGCCGGCGTGGCCATACTGCTCGTCTGGGTCGAGCTCATGATGATCGTCGGCCGCTTTCCCATGTTCGGCATCTACGTGCAGATGTTCACCCAGGTGGCGGTGAACTTCTTCAAGTTCCTCGGCGCCTATCTCTGCCTCGTCGTCGGCTTCTCGCTGGCCTTCAGCGTGCTGCATCGCGGCTACAAGTCCTTCAAGAATCCACTGGTGGGCCTGCTCAAGACCATCATCATGCTCTCGGGCGAGCTCGAGTTCGAGGACGTCTTCTTCGACGAGGAGGCGCCCGTGCTCTATCCGGGCACGACCCACCTGATAATGCTGGCCTTCGTCGTGCTGGTCACCGTCATACTGGCCAATCTCATGATGGGTCTCGCCGTGTCGGACATCCAGGAGCTGCGCCAGTGCGCCGGCCTCGATCGTCTGGTGCGCCGCGCCGAGCTCGTGGCCCATCTCGAGAATCTGCTCTTCTCCAAGCTGCTCGATTACGCCCCGAAGAAGCTCGTGCGCGCCTGTCGCACCGGCGCTCTGCTGCTACGGCTGCCCCATCACTGCGCCATCCACATAAGACCGAACGATCCGCGCGAGAGCCGACTGCCCAAGGAGCTGATCAAGTCCATCTATCATCTGGTGAGCGAGAGAAAGACCAGGCACAAGTACAGATGCCGGGGCGAGTCGTTCAAGAGCACCTTCGACTCGGACGTGGACTCGCGCAGCAAGTCGAATCAGCGCTTCTCGGCCAGTTACAATTTCGAGCCGGACAGTCAGGCCGGTCTGCTGAACGAATTGTCGGCCGAATTGAGGGCCTACGTCGCGACGATCAATTCCAAGCTGGACGTCATGCAGACCAGAATGGACACGATGGGAAAGGGTGGTAGCAGCTGATTCGTTCGGTGTCACGATTCATCCATTGTAAATCTACGCATACCTTCATTCGTACACACGCTTCAAGAGTCAACTTACCAATAATTTAGTCCTGAAGCTTTCGCCGCTTTCCAGATGAAGCCTAGAATCTGCTCCAGTTGTGTTGGATAGAATGATGTCATTGATTTTTGCGTTATTTATTACTTTTACTGAATTTTTTCCCGATAAAATAGTATCGACAGCGTGTAGCAGCAAATCGTTCTCCACTATGTATGCCAGATCATCTTCCAAGTGGTCTTCGTTGAACGTTATCATAGCATCGGAGCATGCATCCCATACCTAACAAGAGAAAAATTTGTAATTAAATTACACTTTATAACTACTTTGAATTGTTATTTAACTACTATATAGTTAAAGTTAAATCTTATATTTTTATGTATAGTAAAAAACTTTATAAATACATATACAATTTAATAAAAGTCTCATAATATTTTCAATTATACCTGCATTTTCCGTACAGGAGTGTGTCGCACAGATTCTATATGTTTCCATGCTCCAATACTTGACAACAATATTCTTGTGTTCTTGTTCAGTGCTACAACTCTATTTGAATACTTTTCTTGAGGTGTATAACTGAATTTGTTAGAAGCTTCTAACAGAAGAATTTTTTTGGATTCCAGACGTCGATTGTTAGCTGCAAGGAAAAGATAATAGTTTAAATTTTCATTTTCCTCATTATTTTGAAAGGTCTGACTGTTGCGACAATAGTGGCAATACAAAAATGCAAATCTATTATGATGTTTTGACAGTTTCATAACCAACCTAGTGCACAGGCCAGAGTAGTCCCGACCATGCCACCTCCAGCGATGACGATGTCGTAGGACTGCTCGGCCGACGAGTCGTCGTGCCTCAGCCGTTTCGAGCAAACGAACGAGATCACCGGACATTTCTTCGACAAGATCTTCAGGGAGCTTGAAAGCGTGCGAGCTTCCACGATTGCGGCCATGTTTGTGCACTGCCGACTTTTGCGCGTCGTCCGCTACAAGTGTCCCACAGTATATCTATAGATACAGCCGACTCTAGCAGACCAAAGGATTCGTCTGCGTTCGAACTCGAGACTGTTACAGTAATATAAACATGCACGGTGCCGATAAATAGCTACTCCTCTGCACGTTTGCGATTTCTCAAGCTCTCGCAATAAAAAAAAACAAACAAATAAAGCTGTCTGGCTGATTTTAAGTTTGGACGACAGCCAAAAATATATCTCGCTCGAGAAGATGGTCAAACTGATGCAAGCCCATTGGTTCCCGCTGTCGTCGCAGGGCAACATTTACACTCTGACATTTTTGCAATCGTGCAAGGGATCGGCCAAGATACTTGTTGCATGTTTGAATCGTAAAATTTATTCCTGCGAGTATCACAAGCACTCCGAATGGCACATAAAACCGCTCGTGAAAGAGTTACTTTTCACTTATATCCCATGTTTGTTTTTTTGTTAATCAGACTGACAATGAAAAATCACTGCTTTGTTACTGAAACAATTCTAAAATATTTTAGCTGGAGCAGAAATTATTGCAATCGATGCTTATAACAAATCAACGACTGCGGATGAATTTGTTATTGGAATAAGTATAATTAAACCAACAGGAGAGACTTGCATGGAACGATACTTAAATATATATTCGGAAGGTGCTGTTGATGGAGATGATAGTATAACCAGTTTGGAATCGATAGCTCAGAGTTGTTTAATGGTTGAGTTATCCTACACTCCATACTTACTTTATCACACAATTATTCCAAAATCTCCTGATAAAGAGGTATATTCAAAGTACAATAATCATATTTATTTTATAAAAATTTTTTAAATTTTAATGATTGTTCAGATAGTGTGGCTAATATCTGGAAGCGATTATAAAATTCATGGAGTTCGTGAAGATAAACAGAATCATAGTTATACTGAGTTTCAATTGGACAAATTTTTCCCAGAATTGGATCAGTTAAAAGCAATTGCATTATGGATTGATATATACTATTACGATGATTTCCAGTGGTATTTAAATGAATAGAACTAAAATTCAAAAGATTCTTAAAAGAAGATCTATTCATCTTTTATTTATGTTTTTCATACTTCAGGAGATTAACAGCTATTTCATGTGAATGTGGTTTATTGAAACTGGCTAAAGTCAATGTAGATAGTTTAGAAATAATTCAAAAATGGTCTTTGCGATATGATAATCCAGTCAGTAGCGTACGCATATTTCCTAATAAATTTGGAGTACAGTTACCGGCATGTCTAAACGTTAGATCCAATGAACTTAGTATGTATTCAGAAATTATTATTCTTAAATTTTCCTCATTCATTTTCTTCATTGGAATATTCAATTGCTTTCTAGATGTTAAGAAGGATAATAAAATAAATGTGATGTTGACTAGTGGAAACAAAGCAGTTGTGTTTCAGTAAGATTATGCAATAAAAACCTAATAATATTTTCAAAAATTCAAAGATAAAAGCTGTTGAAATTGTATGTTTTTTCAGAAATATTTTGCATAACCAGCTTGATTCGGATATAACTCTTGGTGGTAATGAATCAACTTCTGATTTTATTGTTTGCTCTTGCATCGCAGATATAAATATGGATGGTAAAAATGAAATCTTGCTGGGCACATATAAACAAGAAGTTCTTATATATGAATCAATCAATGATACCTGGAAATTAACAGACAAAAAACTTTTTGATGCTCCAGTTCACTCTATAAAATATTTAGATTTAGCTGGAGATGGAGTAAAAGTTTTGGTCATTCAAACACAGCGAAGTGTTCACATATTACAGGTAATTATTTGAAATTTAAGATAATAATATAAAATTCATTAATCTATATTTTGATTTTAGCATGATCCACAAGAAACAATGAATTTATGGTCAGAGCGATTCTCAAAGCTAGTTTCTTTACTTGATGCTAGATAATAAATCAAAAATATTGTTGTTAAATCAAAAGGAATAAAATTGTAAACTATATGAATGTTGATTTATGCTAATTTTTATATTTTACACTTAAAATAAAGTTTTTTATATATATTTGTAAACAACATCTTCCCTCTTTTCTACTGATTGTATTTCAATCTTTACTGGACAGTGTAAATAATAACTTAACAATTCTTCACTGTAACCAGTCAAAAAATAAATTTTCCTTGGATCAAGATTACGTAATATGATTCCTGCTATTCTAACCATATTGTGATGTCTCTTGATAATAATTTCACTAACAAACAGTGCATGCCATGTTCCTGTCATGAATCTGCGAATGAACATATCTTCTATAGTAGTCTCCATCACTCTGTTACCTCCGTCAATGTTAGCTGAAAATCGAAACAATTTTTTAATTTTTAAAGTTTATCTCATTTTTTGTTTTTTATTAATTGACTCACATGTATTCCACGAGTTCCATGACTTTTTATGAGCTATGTGACAAGGTTGATAGGCCATTTCATAAGTTAAAGGCCTATTTTTCTTTAATGTGACTCTGTATCGCCCTGATTGAACTCTATTTGTTATTGACGTAGTATGAATACATCTATTTAACACCATTTGCTCCATGGACTGTGCCACCTAAAAATATACATATCTTAGCAACTTGTCTTAATTTTGATAAAAAAACTCTCTTTTTTCAACTTGTAAAGTAGAAATGTTTGGTAAATAAGGTTAAAATATTGAGTAAATACATTATTAAAAAAAGTTATTTACCCGGCTTAAATTTGAAATGACATTCATTTTTTTCTGTTGACTATAAAGTGCGGTATAAATCTCAAAAAACCAACAACAAATAGACTAGATCTGCACTTTGTTTCACAGATAACTTTGCACTCGGTAAATGTATTCCGAGTGTGTTATAATTCGCGTGCGTTCAGCTCATGAGCCGTGTAGTTCTGTCCTTGTCTAACGTCAGCTGGCGTACGTACCTACAACACTTTGCGGACGACATCGTTGCTTTTGCCTAGTGTCAGTGCTGTGCAATCAGTGTATATACTTTAGTTAACGTGGCTTTATCAACAACCGAGTACGTTTGAATCGAATAACAATTGCGATTTTTAATAAAATTTGATTCATCGTGGAGCCACACAGTTCAAAAATGAGACGGGCTCATTCAGGTAAATTTTGTTTACGCTCATTTTCGAGTACGAATGTTGATAATTAATTTTTTTTTTATCAGGTTATGGTTATCAACCATTACCAACAAGTTCTACACACTCATTGGAACAAGAAAATGATCAGATGGCAGATGAACTCAAAGATAAAATTAATGCCCTAAAGTCACTGTCAATTGACATCAGCACAGAAGTCAAGTATCAAGACAGATTACTGAGAGATATGGTGAGTAGTTTTAAAGAAAGCTTAGTGACCCATATGGTTGCCAAAAATTTAAACAATCTTACTATTCAATTTTGATAACTATTTCTATATCATTCAAACATCTATTTTAATTTTAGGATGATGATGTTGACAGAACGAGTGGGTCTCTTACTTCAACTGTTGCTCGAGTTCTAAGGCTGTCAAAAGGAAGACACAATTATTATTTGTTCTATCTGTTTCTTTTTGCTATTGCTTCGTTTGTTGTGCTATGGATTATATTGAAATTTAAATGATATGCAAGTGACGTATAGGTGAAGATTCATTCCTGTCACATACATATCCAGCCTATTATTAATTAAATTGTACTTGGTAAATATGCACTGGAATTTGTTGCAATAAGTATGGAAAAACAGTTGTACATAGCTTGAATGTAAAAAAATTGAATTACGTTATTTGTTATACATACAATAATAATTAAAAATAATTAAATTAAGAGCTTATATTTTACAAATGGTTGACTTGAAAAGCTAATAAATAATATAAAAAAAAACTATTGCTCTATCTGATTGCATTCCTAATTGAAAAGATTGTATATAATAATAAAAAATCATGAATTTTATTTACTATGGGAATTATATTACATTAAATTTATCATTTAAACCTTGTAAATGTTTATGTTTTAATAATTAAAAAATAATTTAAATCTCGAATATTATAATTAAAAATTTTACTGAACTTGTATACAAAATGTAAATGACTTACGCAAATTTAATTTTTCTGCCGTCATATCAAAGGTTGGCAGCACCCGATGCAAAAATTGCCAACTGTTATGCGCGAATCACTGTGTTGACGTCGTCAGCTGTTCTGTCAGCTAACAGCACTCCGAAAATCAGAAGTATTTTGTTGTGATTAGAATTGATGTGTAACATATTTAATTGACTTTTAAAATGTCGGGCTACCCTCAACAAGATAACTTTTCGTGGTCACCACCCCCGGACAATCAATATAATTTTGACAGTAATAGTTTTGGACAGCCTAACCAACAATTTGAATTTGCAAATTACGGTGATCAAACAACTGGTGAATATGGAGCATATAATCAACAAGAATATTTAAATCCCAATCAAAGCACTTACTCAGGAGACTTATATACCCCTGATAATTACAATCAAGGTTTGCGCATTTATTAATTACATCATTTACAATAGTAATGATTTGTTTGTTTTGGTTCATTTTGCAATTATTTTTCAACATTACTATCTAAATAAATAATAAGAGTATGTTACTAAAATTACCTATTCCTCATTAAAGGAAACACATTTACTGATGAGGAAGACGAGCCACCATTATTAGAAGAGCTTGGTATCGATCCAGATAGAATTATACAAAAAACATTGGCAGTTCTAAACCCTTTTCATAGAAGAGGTCAAACAGACGATGCCAATTACCTACTTCAAGATGCAGATTTAGCTGGTCCACTTGCTTTTTGTTTGGCCCTGGCTTCTTTCTTAGTATTGGCTGGATCAAAAGCACACTTTGGATATGTTTATGGATTAGCTGTCACATCTTGCCTGTTAATGTACATTTTGCAGTATCTAATGAGCAGTTCAGGAAATGTAACTCTTGCATCGGTAGCCTCTGTTTTGGGTTATTGTATTCTACCAGTTGTAGGCTTAGCAGGTATAGGTATTTTTACCAGTCTCAAAGGTCCGGGAGGTTTGATTTTTGCAGTTGTAGCAGTTTTGTGGGCTACTTTATCATCTTCTAGATTGTTTTGTGCCATGTCTGGGGAGGAAAAGCAACGCCTTCTTATTGCATATCCGTGTTTGTTACTTTATGGAGTGTTTACTTTGATTGTAATTTTCTAAAAAATATTATAAAAATTATGAACAAAACAATTAAATTAAAATTATTATTTTTAGTAAGAAAAAAAAGCTTAAAAATTAATTTCTGCCTTTCATTAATTAAGTATTATCAACTATATTCTGTTCTTTATTACATGCACAACTTTTGGGTTAATCGCATTAGAAATGATTTGTGTAAATAAAAAACAATTTTATGGTGAAGTTACGCTTTATTCCATCTTTTGAGAAAATATGTATAATATATATTTTTTTGTGCTTTGCTTGTGACCTAAGTCATAAATGAATCACTCTTTCAAATTCAAAATTTGTATTTTTTCCTTCAAAAACATTTTATTCAATTTTCACTCTGGCTCACACTCTCACATTCACTTTAGTACAAGTCACATGAACAATCAAAACTTATATGGTATTATTCTGTACTTTTATTATTTTTGTACGCAGATATTATTATTAATGTTAATATTATCATTAATATTATTTATTATTATTAATATTATAGTTATGAGTTATAGTTGTATTAGAATTATTTCTAAATTATACAGATTTTCAACATCTCGTTATGCGGGTGATATCAGTTAATATTTTAAGTTTTTGAACGCTATGAACATATTGGTACATTTACACATTTTGATAAATTTATATACAATCATTTTTCATTAGAGACGTTACGTCGTTTCATTGTTCAGATATACTTATACAAGTACTTTGTATAATGCATTCTTTTCAATGGTGCCCATCTTCTTACTTATAGTATGTTTCTATTATTTCATTGTTATTCGGATAACAAGTTTGCCTATCCATATAACATATAAATATTATATATTGAAACCAAAGCAAAACATAAATGCTATAGTAGTATTTATCAAGTTTACATGATAATGATTAAACGTAAAACATCGTTAAACACGAAACATGCATCTGAATCGATTTTTGTCAAGCAATTCAATGTTCTCATATGATAATAATCATTATTTATTTTTACATATAGTACAAGTTGTTTAGATTTTTTTGCAATTCTCCGTGTAATTTTATTACATAGATCGTGAACCACAACGAAAAATTATAAGAACCATATCATCTATGTGCGTCGTTAATTGTAGTTTCCAGAATTTATCAACTATTATTTGCATTAAAAACCTTTTTTTCGTTAAACAAGGAGTTATATCATTGAAGTGTTTTACATTTCTTCATTTTATTTTCGATAGTGATAAAATATCGACAACTGTGAAACGTGTAAAATTGCAAAAGCGATTGAAAAGTAACAACTGTTATTACAGAGAAAAATCGTTGAAGCACTTGTTAATTTGTTATACTCTTGCTTTATAATTATAAATATACATCTTATTACAACAAAGTTTTCTTTTATATAAAAATGATTATAAAATTGTTAAGAGATAGTAATTAAATAAGACGTTGCCGTTACGGTTTAATTATATAGAGACAATAGAAGATTTTTCAACTTTAATACTTTTAATTAATTATAATATCTGTATACGATGCCAACGCGGTGAAGCGATTGAACAATTTTCTTATAATATTCAATTTGTTCAGTTACATCGAATTTATTTTACAGTCATGATATACATATAACGCACATTTTCATTTACACATTCTCACATCGACATGAGTGGAGATGAAAACGATAATATTCATTATTATACAACAAAGTTACAGATATTAGATGAGCTTGATATATTTCATCTTACATCCATCTTACTTGACCTTAAACATATTTCAATAATTACATCCCATTTATCGACGCGAATGAGATAAGTTATTTTTTGCTTTTACTTCGTAATAATGAACGAATTTTTTTTGTACTCGCGAGAATATTTTCAATGACAAAATATTCATCGACTGTCGTCGGTAAATTTTTGTATTTCTGATTATTTTTACTTGATGCAAACTCGAACTCAATAGCGGAGATGCATTATAACTTTCATTACCAAGGATGTTGGCATGAACAACGACACGTTGAAACAGATCGATTTTTTTTTATACATGAAATATCGCGCGCGATGGTGAAAGATAATTTATACAGTTTTAAAAGTTTTAAAAAGCTATACAAGATCCTTCATTTTTACACACAACTTCTCTTAGAATATCGTTTTTTTTTGTTTAATATATCGACGTCATTCTTTGTCGCACGTATAAAATCTTTACGAAAATAATGATACATTTATTTTACAATTCCTCTAAACGCTCGCTTTAGCTCTCACGTACGTCGATACAATATCTGCTTATCACTACATCGTAAATAATGTCATTTTCACTTAACTACATTTTTACTTTTTACAATCCAAGGCTTTTCAATTATTAAATGTTGATTTATTGATATTACAAAATTTTGACTTTTCAAAGGAACCGGATACGCGCGAATAACAAAAAAGAAAATCAAGTCTTTTACACTTTCAACGATTATCATGATTGTCCGAGATGTTTGTACAGATCGTGCGTCGATCGATGAATTAATCGCGAGCAGCTGAGATAAAATTTGAATGATCACCCACGGGATGGGTAATCACTATTTCATGTTTCTTCGTAGGAATAAATTAAACTTGTCCTTATTTTTTTTTTTTAATTTTCAAGATTTCCACTTCAGGTTTCCTTTGAAAAGTCAATTTCTCGCAGCAAATAGCAAAACTACTATTTGCATTGTCACTGGTTTTAAGATGGCAAGTACGATTCGTACGTTCGGGGGCCACTTTCTCGTCTCACTAACGAATGATTAATTATATTTTTTCCCTAAAATATCGTACATTTATCACATTGTTCCACTTCCTCGTTTCAATTGAATACGAATTCATTTCGACAATAACGCAAAGACTTGCAGCAAAATTTGATAAATTATTTGAACGAAACGTTGCATCACATTGTAAATGATTTTTCAAGTAGTTGTTGTTGTTTTTATATCATTAGAATTCGATATAAATTATTTTTCTTTATTATTTTCAAGATCAAAAACAATCGATGTACTTTCTGCGTAACGTGTAGGACGGAAAATCAATAACAGACAATATTTTCGTCATATAGGTAAGTACTTGAATAATTAGTAATCGAGCAGTTAAAAAACAGAAAATTTAACATCTTGCCGATGGTTGACGTTGCTCTGTTTTTTTTATGAATGCAATATGGACTTCGTTGAAGTTTTTATGGTTCATTTTGTTTGATTCCAAGTTAATGTACACGCCTGAGAACAGTACACGAAGAGAATAATCATTTTTAAAAGACCATTATATGGTGTAAAAATGAATAAAGCACTGATTCAATATGTTTAAATAGACGTCCCATTTGAAATCGTTTGCTTTTTGTTTAGCTGAATGATAAAATTTTAAAATTGGAAACTTCTCGTCATGATGTACAGTAGTCGATACACATTACACATATTTTAATACGAACAGATATACTTTCCTACACTTATTATGTATGTATATTTATACGAATCTTTTCATCGAAAAAGTATATAACAATCGAATCTAAAAGACAGGGCATCGTATTTATAATTGATATACGTTACATCTAAAGACACAACTACAAATGTGTGTGTTTGTCCGACAAGTAACGCCAAATATTATTTTTACCTACACCGTTAAGGGATGTACATACAATTTGTTGTCTCTTTGCATAAAAAGTGCTCGTGTAAATGTTAATTTCAAGTTGTGAAAATATTCAAGCTTTTTTCTCCATGGCTTGCATTTATATCAATGTACGAAAATAAAGTTATATATCTTCTCTCGCCAACGTATGCACGCACATTTGCGTACGCGAACGTTTATTTTCTTATTCTGTTTTTTTTTTTTAATTTTTCATATATTTTCTTCTATTTATCGCCTTATCTTCCATGTTTCAAGAAAAAATGCCAAAAATCATCGACATGCATATTCATATAAGAGCACATAGTTCTATACAGGCACGATCCACATTACATATCAGATTAAAATTTTCAATTCATTTTAAAAAACAACGAAAAAAGTACGTTTGACACTATAGCTTGAATTTTTCTTTAGAATCGATAATCGCTTGGAAATCGATATATGCGATAAAATTTTGTCGACTTTTAATTCGATGACACGATCACATCCACGCCACACTAAGCAGGATTAGAACTCGCGACTCTGGTTGGAAAGTTAAAAAGAAAAAGTGTTGATGTTTCAAGCGACGACAGGACAATTTTATAACGAAACGAGAAACAGCGTCCGATATATCATATACTTATATACATGTATATTACAACACACTCATGTATTTTATATCATATAATATGTAGTAAATAGTTCGTTAGATATTTTTCACGTTATCAAAAAAGCTTGTTTTCAATCATATATATTTATATTTATTATTATAGTATAATGCCCACGACATTTGTAAATATCATTTATACGAGTGCTGCTGTAGTACACAAATCGTTAAATATTACACGGATTTCCCAATAGCCTTCAAAAAGCTAAGCAGTTATAAAAACGATGTAAAATTGGATTTATATAGTTTTATATATTATAATTAGCGAAGAGAGAAAAAAGCACTCGATTTAATAATGTGTGACAGGGAAGTTATTTTTTGTATATAAGTAAATATATTTATGCGGCTAAAATATTTAACACGATATGCCCTAAAAATGTGTGTGAGTATAATAACGTATATTATGTAGCTCCGGGGACTCGCACTCAAAATATATATCGCTATTATGGATCGATAATTTTTTATAATATTTTATATATTCATCCACGGATCGTTTAAAATATAATAATATTCACGTAACGATTATGAATATTTCATTATAGTTAATAAGATCTGTTACATTGTAAGTACGTACGATTCAACCGACGAAATTCATTTTTTTTTTTAAATTTCATACATATTTAAAATGATGCAGATGCAATCTTTTCTTTCGCATAAATTGATAGATTTGCGCGCGTAAAATAGTTATTATTGTCCCTAAAAATATACGTATTTCATACGTCTTTATTTATTTATCGTAGTATTTATTATATTTGTAATAATTATTCGAATCCGTATAACAACAAATTAGAGTCTAGATGGAATTTTTATCTTAAAGCTACGTATCAACTTCAACTCATTTTTGCAATACGATTAAGAGAGAAAATCAATGATTTTTTTGTTGCACCTCCGACTCATCGGGTTATTATCGCGCGTTGAAACTTAAAGACTAATCGTTTGACGGCTCGTTTTTTTTTCAGAGATATGTCGTATGTTTTTTTTTGGCGAACGAGTTAGTTCCATTGAAAAAATATCGTACGTAGATGCGATCGATGAAGAAAATTTCACGGAAAATATATTGTTTCGTCGATATAGACATTTGTCGTTGTATTTGAACTGACGCGATCGTTTTTGTATTTTGAAAAAACCGAACAATTTCAGAAGAAACAACCTCGTTTTGTGCAATAATGATTAGTATAAAAATATAAACATCTACCGATTACTTTTACATTTCGCGAGTATAAATTCATAAGCACGTTTTTCGTCTACAACTCACCTTTGCCTCACCGTCGTATAAAAAATTTGCTCATGCACTATCCTACTACATTTCGTTGATCTTCCGCCGGGTTTGAAATTTTTTGTCACGAAAAAATTGAACTCAATGAAAAAAGAAAAGTGAAAGTAAGCTATTTCTTTTTTTTTTGTTTTTTTTTGTTTTATACATGTGTGATTCGATGAAGATGCGCGTCGTCGTCGCCGCGGATGAGCGATTAAAGAAAAAATTGCTCGATATTACATGGTAATTATGAAATCTCTTAAATTTTGGTTATTGGAGATATTGGAACATGTTACGCTGACATAGTGGCATGAATTACCATGTATACCCGCGATATAAATAAGGCAGTGACGAATTTGCGATTCGGCAGTCACAGTATAGACTGTTTTCAAAAAAATTTGCTCGAAATATTATTGAGGAATAACAAAGTCTCGTTCGAAAACAATTTGAACACAAGTATTATTATTTTTCGTCTCATTTTATATGTTTTTTGGGGGGCATTACATTTGCAAGAGAAAAGTCCGTCGTTTTAAAGCCTTTTAAAGAAATGATAATAACGATTTTGAGCATAATTTCTAATTATTGCAGATTTTTATTGTTTCGTTCGAGAATCGTAGATGATATGAGTGCGACGCAGAAAAAAACAATTATAAAACATTTTTCTATATGAATCTTTCTCTTGCAATGCGGAAAAGCAGCAAAAGTAATAAGTATACAACAGAGACAGCGAGTGCAATGGAGCTTGAGTAAATCACAATAGTCTACACACATCGGATATTCTCAAACTCCAATGTTTATGTCGTATAGCCATTGATTTGACGAAAGAAAGAAAAAAAAATCAATGCTTCGCTGCGAATACGATGTGATCAACGATGTTGGCTTATAATAGCTGTGTGTTCATTTTCAAGCGTGACTCTTGCGACGCGATATGGATTAAATGTATAACTATATATACTTTTTTCTCGTCGTTATAATCGTTATAGTTTAAATTTATTTATTATCCTTATGACCGATGCTTATCTCTTTTAATATACGTATATAGTATACATATTACAACTGTGTATATATGTGTACGTGTGTGCGTCCATTGCGACCGCACGGCAATCGTCAACGTTAACGTAACGATCGTCGGAAAATATTATATCGAATTAAAATTAACATCGCCTTCGATTTTTCGATATACACGATATTATTTATTTTTTACGATTAAACGTTTGTATATTATCCGAATGGCGTAATGGGCCCTATTACGATCGTGAGAGCTCGATGTTTTCTATAATCGTACTTTTTATTATATTTTTTAATTTTAAGAGAGGAGGGGCATCCTTTTATATAGTGCCAATTCGAACTAAGCGAGAAAATATTTTTCATGCTGTTACTTTTTTTTTGTGGAATTTAGATCAGTAAATTTATAAATCAAATAATTTTTTTCTATTTTCATTTCATCGGCATCAAGCTGTAAAAGTTTCCTTCAGAAAAGTCCGAGCTGTATATAATAATCTAGAAGATGCTACGATTCGACAATTTTTTCTTAATCTCTACGTCGTAGAAAAATAAAGTGCATTTTCAGCGACGAGTTTTATTTTCTTCTTTTAATTCATTTGTTTTTACTTTTTTGCGTTCAAGTTTCATCGTGAAACTCGAATTCTCTATACAGCGAGGGAAAAATGGCGAGCGAGTTATTATTGTATATGAATATTCTCTAAAAGATATTGTTTTTTATACCGTATATATTTTCAATGTTTCCATGTGTGTGTTTTTGTGTGTTCGTGGCATTCTCGACAAGAGAGATTTTTGAGAAAGATAAGAGAAAAAGAAAATTAATTGGTCGATAAAGAAGCTTCGATTTGTCGGCATTTATAAGGAACATCGACGTGTATTCACAGGACACGAATCGATATACATATTATTATTATTATTATTATTACTATTATTACTATTATTAATATTATTATTATTATTATTTTTATTATTATAACGATGACAATCGTCACGGGGCGATCTCGTTGCTGTAATATCGTACATAATATTATAATTACGGGGGTTCACGAGCGAGCCATATCGTCCAGAGTCTCTGTTTATTTTTGTTGAAACTCGTATATATATCATATGCTCCGTCCAGCGGGGGCTCTGCTCTTGTAGTCTGTGTATATTATTATTATTATTATTATATCGTATTCATGGCAGAACCGGCCAGCCACGGCTCGGTCGGCACATGATATCCCTTAAAAAGGATATCATTTATCTCTTGTTACATCGTAATAATCGCGGTGAAGCGTTCGAATTATCGGACAGTCGTGGCGCTTTTGCGACATAATCGGTCTCAATCATCATTGTATATTATTACCAATAACGAGCACGATTATACCGGAGACCCGTCAGCGCGCGAGGCAGCTGCTGTGCTGCCTCTGCAGCTGTGCTGGATGCTGCTGCTGTTGGTGCTGCGCAGGGTGGTGATGGTGCCGACGGGATCTCTGCCACGTGGTTCACCGCGGCCACGCGTCCTAGGCGGGCGCCGACTTGTGATTGAAGATGTACGACACGTTGCTGTCCTGGTGCACCGGCGGCCCGTGAAAAGCGCGCCCCCGCGACGAGCCGTTGTTCACGTAGTACGAGGACTTGCGCATCGACGTGGACGACGACATGATCGCCACGGTCTCGTAGTAGCGCAGCTTGCCGCAGCACTGGCCCGACTTGATGATGGCCATGAAGCCGCGCCGGTACTTCTTGTTGAAGAAAGCGTAGAGGATCGGATTGATGCAGGAGTTGGAGGAGCCCAGCCACTGGGCGATCGGCGTGGCGATCGGCAGCAGCTCCTCCTCCCATTCCGCTATTTTACCTGCGGACGCGAGACAGAGATTATAGAACGGGTTATTATGGAATGCAAGATTTGCTTCCTCGTCGAGGAAGCTCTGTTTTGAGTGAAAAATCGACACTTTTAAATATGTATATCGAATAAGTTTTTTGAATAATCGGATTGTGAATGCTATTAAAATAAATTGCATTTATTGTCGATTGCGTCGAGGATAAAGCCCGAAAAAATTTCACTTCGATTTTTAATATTTAAAAAGTTATTAAAGTTTTTAATTTTTTATTTCTTTTTTTTTTAAGGGATAAAATGATTAAAATTGAAGTATTTGATCAAGGATTTCGAATGATGAGTTATTAACCTTTAATTTAAAATCAAAAATGTTACACTGAAAAAAAACTTTGATGTAGATCCAACAAAAGTGGACAGCTAAATCAGCCGAAGATATTTTAGTGCCTCAGCAAAATAATTTTGCCAAGTATAGCAGAAAAATATATTTTGCTGACAAATATTTTTTGCTGATCCAGTTGTCTATTTTTGTTGGATCTACTAATAAGATTTTTTTTGTGTATGACTCATCGATTAAACACAAAGTTGTATTAGAAAAATGAAAATGATTTTTTTTCACTTTTCGAAAATTGAACTTTTTTATTAAGTTCAAGTGATTTTTGGAATATTTGAGTAGTGATTTTGAAAGAAGCGAGCAGCTAAAGTTAAATTAGGACAAAAAAGTGTTAAAACCAAACTCAAAGACGTAAAGATTGAGAAATGATTTTGTAAAGAAAATTATATCAGTATTTAATAAGTATTTAATTTTTTGACGAGAAAACTAGAGCAGTTTTCTTTTTGTTCCTGCGTTACTCTCTCACCTCCGAGCTTGATGCGGGCGAATATAACGTAGAGCGGCAGCCAGGACAGCACGAACAGTATCACGACGATGATCAGCATCTTCACGACCTTGACTTTGGACTTCTGCTGGAGCCGCTCCATCTGGTCGTCCTTGGTGTCGCTGGGTATGTCGCGCCGCCAGACCTTGATCCAGATCAGCACGTAGCAGAGCGAGATGAGGATCATCGGCAGGACGTAGCACAGCATGAGATTGCCGATGATGAAGAAGAGGGTGCCGTCCAGCGGTCGCGGCCAGATCTCCATGCAGAGCTTGACGTCGGGATCGTCGTTGTAGATCGAGACGAGATCGAAGAACAGCAGCCAGGGCGAGGTCGTGGTCAGGGCGATGAACCAGATCACGATGATCATCATGCGCGCCCGGCTCTTCGTTATCTGGCAGCGCAGCGGCCACCAAATCGCCAGGAATCTGCGCATAAATTGAATAAAGATACTTAATAATCTCGTTGGAATATTATTTGTATATCGATCGTTGAATGCATATACAAAATATTTCGCGTGACTAACTGCTTACGATCATGGTCGGAGCCCTGAGAACTGCAATTATTGTCATAAAAATTGTGAAATCTCGGAAAAACAAAGAAACTCCTTGGATTTTTATATGGGTTTTTGAATTAAATTTCAAGGAGCGAATCGGCCATCGCGGCTCTATCGGGATTTCTTTTGTTTGCTCCGATAATGAATTGCGTTGCAATTTTTTACCCGATAGGTAGGCACAGATGCACGAAGGAATTGCGTAACTTACGGTCGACGACACCCATACAACATGTATGAAATGTCAATCGTGCCTTTTTTTTTCATTTCAACTGAATACAAACGATATTTTCTGTTTTCGAGTATATGCGTGCGTGTTTCGATGCGCAAGCACTCGAGTCTCGTTGATTTACGTGTACTTTTTTTTTAACGAAAGATCGTTTATAATTATGCGTTATCGCGTACTCCGCGCGCCGATTCATAAATGTAAACTCGTTGAGCTTTATTGCGCGGCGTGCACACAACGCGTATAATATAATCGTTAGCGCAGATATATCTGATCGTGGGAATACGCGCGTCAAGCTTAATTATTAGGTCGGATAATTAAAATTCAACGTTTTTGAGCTCGCGGTCAAAAGGCGTGTTATTATAGTACGTGAACACCAAAAGATAAGTCCCGTGGTTAGAAATATTCAACATTTTGACTTATACAATTATTTTGACTTTGTCACTTGCAGATTTGCAGATTTAAAGATACTCGCCATCTAGTGGTGGGAGTTTAAAGTTCGTGCTATCGCATTTAGGCAATAAGGATTTTGAAAACAAATTTGCTTTTTCCCATCTAAAGGTCAGGTTTGGTGATGTTTTACTATCAACGGTGAGCGTTGACAAAACTGGACTCAGTCTTATACAATTATTTTTATCTTTCCACTTGCAAATTTAAGAATAAATTTACTCCTCATCTAGTGCTGGCGTATTTAAACAGTTGAAAATTAGTCTAACTTTTTTTGAAACGGTTGAATTGCCATTTTCAGGTCATTTAAAACGTATACTTTAAAAAATATAAGTACTTGAAAACATAAGTATCGTCCTACTCGCGTAAATATTTTCATTCCTAAAATTCATCCACACAATACCAAGTTCGATAAATTCACCATTGAAAATTGTTTTCGGATTCGTTTAAATCACTTATACATTATGAACGTTACATTACCATAGACGCGCTGTGTGTGTGTGTTTGTGTATAGATGTGCTCGTTAACACGTGCCATAGCCGTGTCAGCATTTGAATAAAATAATAAGGCTTTTTTTTATCTACATTAATGTAACCTTGCGTATATATACGCGCGTGTGTGTACTCCGCGGAGTAATTTACCATATAGTTCTGATTTTCTTTCGACTATTATTTACGCGCGAGATATATAAGAGAGAGAGAATAGAGAAAAAAAGGTAATAAGCATTCATCGATGAGTCTCGGCATCGATAAAAGAAAGAGCGCGAGAGAAGAAATTAAACGAGTCACGTATATAGCCATCCGCGCGTGTTTACGCGTCTAATAATGGGATAATCGAAGCTATATGCAAAAAAAAAAAAAATAATAAGAAGAGAGAGAAAAAAAATCGTTATACGCGGCATAACATAGTGTTGACGACGACGACGACGACGACAACGACGCACCAAACCGATGTACATATAGCGTGCGGCTGTATGGATATAATACATTATGTGTGTGTATATGATGCTCGATGTACTACATTATAATACACCTATGTATCGCCTCGTTCCATAAGATCTGCTGCAGATCGGCCGCCGCCGCAGCCGTGTTCAGGGTCAATTACGGCGCTTCTCGCGCATAAGAGCGGCGAGTATAGATCTTGAGATCATAGATGCGCTAATTACATTTTCTTTTCTTCTTCTCGCTTTTTTTTTCTCTTCTTCTTACGTATCTTACGTATATATGTATTATCTTTTCGCGCGCCAAGTTCGATTGTAATGTCGCGTGTTTATGCGCTGATCATTGTATTAGGGCTGGGTCCGATCGTCGATCGTCAATTATAAAGAGTAAAGTTGAAAAAACTCGGAGCAGCAACCTTGTCTCTGCGAAGAGCTTCGCATGCCTATTACGCGCGTTACGCTGACGATTAGCCATTCGTATAATTCATTTTCTCCATTGTGCACTATACGAGCCTCGATTATTGTTCTCGATGTCTATTATACATTTGGTCAAGGGATGAGCCATAATGCTTCGAGCGATTAGCAGCCACGTAAACAGCTACATAGCAAATATTACCGTAAGACCGCACTCGATATAGAAATCAAAGCTTGCCATTGTTTCCGTTTTCAGGCCTTTAAACGAACGTAAATATACAGATGCTATAAGCACGTGTCCAACGACGACGACGGCGACAGGACGCTAATTTTTTTTTTCTTCTTCTTCGTTTTTTTTTGTTTACGAACGACGAGTCGTCATCGAGCGCGTTTATTATTATATATATACTGCACGAGGCTTTCACAACGTGCGCCGCTGCTGCTCGCGCCTCCGTCCCGTGGTTTTTATTTTCCTTGACTCATATTTATATAGACTCGGTGCAGTGTACGCGACTCGAGAGCTGTACGGTTCATTGACGAAGCGAGCCTCCAAAGCCTATATAGCTATATACTACGTGTGTATGTTATGCTAAACACAACAACAACAAAAAACGAGAAGGAAAAAAAAATCGCTTGATTATATAGATTTCTATGCGCGCGCGAGGCTCGTCCGTAAAGTATATATATGATAGTTAATAAGCCGTATATTACGATCTTTTTACGCGCGCGCGCGCGCAAATCAATGTGTACTACTGCTACGAGAGAGATCGTCGTCGTCGTCGTCATTGGTATTTCAAAGAAGCTGCCTGAATAAACGGAGCGAAGCGATTTTTAATTAAGTAATCATAACAGCGAGCGAATGAAAAAATTTGAAGCAAAAAAAAAATCAACTATAAACCGAAGGAGATTCTCGACGCGCGCCGCGCACAGGTGTATCGTGTTGTGTGCGTACACGGGCGTAATTATACTGTCCGCGAGCCAACGCCTCTTTTACGAATGCGTGTGTTTATGCGTTTGTGTATATTGACAAGAGAGTCACCTCCCGCAGAGGCGCGCAGCATAATCGGCTACGCACCGTGATCATCGTCGTCATGTAACGTAAACGCAAAGGAGGATTCGTGCGTGTGTGTGTGCGTGCGCGTATGTAGATTGTAGACCTTTTTCATTAAAGCGCTTGGGATTTTTTTTCTCACAAATATATGTGCGCGCGTGAGAATATTCACGGGTGAGGCTCGCTCCTACAAGTCCAGCCATGGGTCCTTGGTTCATTGTGCATTAAAAGCGCCTTCTTATTATTATACATCGTCGTGTCGTCGTGGTATATATAGAATCTATATGTGTATTGGTGTAGCCGCACTTATCCGTGCGAATAATTACATATGCTTTATGTTTATTACGACGATGGATCGTGTGCGTTACCCATATTTATAATGCATGCCATCTCGTACCGATCTCTTACCGATTAGATTATATATTAAGTATTATAAGTCGGTCGCGTAAATAAATCGAATCTCTCTCTCTCTTCTCTCATTTTTTTCTTCTTCTTCTCTTCGTCTCGCGCCAGAGATTCGCGCGCACCAGGGAAGGATTATCGCGCTCGCGTTTACAGCTATATTCTACACCTATGTGTGTGTGTGTGTGTGTGTGTGTGTGCGAGCGAGCTAGCTAGCTTATAGCTTACAGATAGTCCAAGGTAAACAATGATGCATCGCGGCGTGGCTTTACGCGCGCGAAGCTCATCCCCCTTTGACTATACGGATCGCTGTGCTGCGCGTAGTGGTGAGCCGCTGCTGCTGCTGCTGCTGTTGTTTTGAAGCTATTTGCCTATAAAAGACGCGACGCTCTCGGCTCCGGGATTCGAGTTCGGACTGTGCTCTCGACGACGGATTATAAGCTCGGCTTTTCATCTCGGCTCTATCTCGAGTTTCTCTTGTGCGACAGAGGGATTATCTGCGTTTAATACACAATCGCCATGCTGATGAAAATCGTGAGTACTTAGCGATTGTATTATAATGCCGCGTGCAGAGCTTGATATCTTACGGTTTTGTTGTTGCAATTTTTAATTGAAGTGATCGATTTTTAAGATTAAAATGATACTCGATCGTTTTTAAAATTTAATTGATTGTGTTACTTACTTATTGCATTTTACAAAAAAAAAATTAATAGTTGCATTTATGAACAAATTTTATAATTCATTTTTATCTGTATGATCACTTTCCATTATTTTAATTACGAGAAATCAATAACTTTCGTGCTCTCAGTTTCAATGTGCATATTTATGAAATAAATCGTATTATTCATTTAATTATCGAGTAGTGTGCAGATTCTTCCTTAAAAATCTTTTTAACTGATAAATATCGCACTCAATACGGCAATCAAAAATGATTATTATGTATTTACATTCAATTAGTATGGGCTGAAAATCAAATCATTGAGATTTTTCTAATATTATTGACCAATACTTCAAAATATTCAATTAATAAATTTATTTATTGAAATTAATTTGCATTAGTTTGAATTGTAAAAATATCCAAATGTTTGTACTTTTTTATTTTATTAAACTTATTAAATTGTGCTATTTAAACTTTAATTTTGGTTAAATTCGCTTACAAGTAGAAGGTAACCAAGCTAATAAATAAACGATTGGGTTTTTAATGATTATTTAAATTTATGATTAATTTATGATCCAATCATTTTATAATATTCAATGGTCAGAGCCGTATTTTAAAATATCAGAAAATTATCTCAAGTTAATAAAACAGTCACGATCATTGAATGTCATAAAATGATTCTCTGCACCGATCGTCCATCTATTGACTTGGTCACCCTAAACTTTAGTTTTGCAATTTTTAAAATGGCTTTCGAAACAAATTAGAAATATAAATCTCGCTCATTTTAATACGACGCGATCAAACACTTAAATTTAACGAAGAGATACAATCTCGACGTGGTACATAAGCATTCAACTATATAATTTTAATTGACCGTTGTCCTGATTCCCTCGCTCTCTCGGCAATGCAAAACGCGCGTCTCAATTAGATTCGAAACGTTGTTCTTTTATTTTTTTTCATTCAATAATAGATATCGCGAATCGAGCGTCATACAGGACACAATGGATTATATAGTCAATAAAAGCGCCGCGATTTATGTAATCCTTAAGGCCGATTCATTGTTTTCTTTTTTTCTTCTCTTCTTCATTCATTTATTTATGTATATAGACACAAGAAGTTATACCAAGTTCTCGATTCTTACGTAAAAAGCTCGGGTGATAATGACAGCACATGAAATAAGTAACAACCTAACTCCTTCACCTACATACGCCGTATTATATACACTTATTGTTGCACGTTTGCGCTCGAGTTAGCGAGTGCCGTTATACACCATGCTTATAATACTACGTGTTGTTGTTTCGCGGCACGTATTATGACGCATCGAACTATATCTCTCATTCACACACATCTCTCTACGCAGGTGATCTTGGCCTTGCTGTCCACTCTCGCGGCGGCGGCGCCCAAAGCAGCCCCGGCCCCGGCTCCGGCACCAGCACCAGCCCCAGCACCAGCCCCCGAGCCGGTCGCCGCCGCGTCGGCCTATCCACCGGTGTACGGCGGCCTCGGCGCCCACTCGTACTCGTCGGTGCTGCACTACCCGTCGTACGCCTACAGCAGCGGCTACCCGTACTACGGCGGCAGCTACGCCTACGGCGGCTACCCCTACAGCTACAGCTCGCTCTACAGCGGCTACCCGCTCAACGGCTATCCGGCGCACGGCAGCGGATTGTACTACAGGAAGCTGGGCTACGGCGGCTACGGCAGTGGCTACGGCTACGGCGGTTACGGACACGGCTACGGCTACGGCTACGGCTATCCCTACAGCTCGCTCAGCAGCTACAGCTATCCCTACGTCTCGTACTATTAGAGCTGTATTAGTATTTCGTACGAAGTTCGACGATAGACGTAAACGTGTGTATCTATATCTCCGCGGCGCAACCGAGTGAATCATCGTAATTCGTGCGATAAAATCACTGCCAGAGCTCGGTTTGATCTTTCTAATGCATTTGTACACACACACTCGCGTACGCGTATATTGAATTCACAAAGTATTATGTACGTATAGGCGCGCGCAATTATATACGTATAACTGCTGCTGCAGTTATATTACATAATACGAATTTTGTACACACACACAAGTCCTGCGCGACAAGACTCATGCATGCATTTACGTAAATTTATACACGCACACATAGATGCACGCGATGTATGAGTGTGTGTGTAAAAGTGTCGGATTAGAACGAGCCGTAAAGAGAGAGAGAGAGAGAGAGAGAGAGAGAGAGACGACTTTTGAGGATATGTAAGTATACATGTATAACGCGAGTAATGTACGCGGAAGCAGCAGTCTATTTTCCACATGTATCGATGTTGTGCTTTTTTTTATACTTTCGTCGACTCCAAAAAGTTGTCTTCTCCACTCTCTTTTTTTTTTTTGTCTGAAATCTTGCCACCCGCCTCACCCAACGAAGCGATGTTCACGAGGTTCGCTCGATCATCCTGTTTTTTTTTTTTTACAATGTAATTTATCCATGTCAATTATGTGTACCGCTTCGAGCCAGATACCACACGATTGTATTCAGTATTCCTTGTATAACTCATTATAGTTTTTACATTTTTCAAGAACAATAAATTTTAATTTATAATACCTCGAGACAACATTTTTTTTTATCATTTATTGTTCAGATGTTATACTTTTGATGAAAAATTTGACTACTTCAAATGGAACAATCTATTTCCGTTGATTCTGGAGATCCTTGCTACAAATGCTAATTAGCATCGATAAGAGTCTCTGCAGACGAAAATTATTTGAAATATTCGTACGACCAACTGGTTTGTTTTTGGCAATTTTTCTATTGAAGTTATGTTAGAATATTATTGCGCACTTCAACGCGCAAATACTACTTCAGGCCTTCGCCGCTAGACGGCGAGTGGGCTGGATCTGTGAATCTGCAAGTCGTGAAGTCAAAACAATCGTATATAAGTTAGACAACTTATTTTGTCATTGGCAGATGTTACACATTTCTTGGTGCTGACATCATAGTGCAAATTTCAATGATCGTAAAACGATATTTCACGAGTTGAAAAAGTTTTATTAGCGAAAAATTTGATGGATGCAAGGGATAACGAGGACATCACAAAATAAGGTTCAACGTGTCGACTCTCTCGGCTTTTAAGGTATATTTTTTCCTTTCTTTTTTTTCGTACAAAAATAAATATGAAAAATTAAAAAAACGCTACAGTCCAGCGTTGATCGAGTAAACAAAAAAAAAACACATTGACTCTCGACGCGATTTTTACAAAAAGTATCGCCACTTTTTTTTAAGCTCTCGGGGCGTTGGGCCCTAATGCAAGCCATGATGATGATGCTCGTGATGGACGGGCACGTAGTGGTCGTGTCCGGGCAGCACCGTCTTGGTCACGATGGGCGCCACGTGTACGTGGGGAGCCAGCGGCTGGTGATGGGGGATGTGCTCGTGATGATGAACCTCGTGATGGCTGACCAGATGGAGCGGCTCGACGTGGGCGTGATGATGCGACACGATCGGCGCGTGATGATGGATCAGGGGCGCGGCGTGATGCAGCGAGACGTGATGGGCGTGCGAGACGGGCTGGGCGATCACAGCCACGTGATGCCCGTGATCGTGGCTGACGACGTTGGGCGCGTGAATGTGGCCGAGGCCGTGGTCGAGGATGTGGCCGGTGAGGCCGCCCGGTCGGGCGCACACCACCGACACGAGGGCTGCGATTACTGCCTGCCAGGACATTTATCGAGAGAAATTGATATTGGCTCTAAAGTCGAATTATTCGTTTGCAGCTCGGCGGACTGGCGATCGTTAACAATCTTCTCTATTGTATAAGCACCGCGAAGAGATTTAAAACCATTACAACGTTACCGCGTTATTATGTACTTTTTTCCAAGCCGTGCGTGTGATGTATAATATTTCAGAAACGCGTATACGTAACGCAAAAATCGATCGCAATGAGAAAATGTTTTTCTCTCTCGTCGCGTGTGCATTATTACTTATTATATCGTTATGAATCTTCACGATAAAAGAGAAATTACTTGCGATTTTAAAGCACGCGAAAAAAAGTACTTATCTCGTCGCGCCAATTATCAATTTTCGCGCGCGAGTTTCAATATCCTCGCGGTGCGTGACACGCGATCGCGTCACTCGTGTGTGCGTATACGATACAATCGATCCCGGGTGAGCTCGATCGACACAATTTATGCATACACGCGCGAAGATTTATTAATCGCGCGATCGCCGAGCCCACGATTATGTCTCGCTCGTTTCTATGCACACGCGCGGGCTCGAAATAAATTTCAGTCACTATTTATTTTTTAATCGTCACCGCGTCGTGAGTATTATTATCCCCATAACTATATGGCTGTGTCGAAACACGAACGTATACACTCGCATGTATTTGAATACGGCTGCAAGGAGAATTAGGAATGATTATTTCTCACGGTTATTTCGCAACTCTGCGACAAATTTGCGTAAGAGCCCGTCACGTTAGCGAGTTCGCGAAACGGATAGACACCCATACATTACATTTGTATGTGTTTGTCGTATATACGTATATTCGGTATGAAAAAGACTAGTTAGTCGCAATTCGCGTCGATGCTGTTTCAACCGATGCACTACCCGTCGATATTATTCCGATGTTTTTTTTTCGAACGAGCGAAAACAAAGTATTATACGTGACTATCGCTGCCGATGAACTGCGCTCCCTCGACTTACCAACTTGAACATGTTGATTTGGGGAAGTCTAAGAGAGAGAGATCAGTCGATACGGGCACACACTACACGAGTACACCTAGGCAAGAGACAGCGGGATACTGCTTGTCCAGATCGGCTGGCATTTGGCATTTTATACCTAAGCGCCGAAATTAAAAATCGCACAGCCGCTCTCTTTCTTTCTCTAACGCCGCACAGTGCACATTAGTGACGAATCTGCAGGTAAAACACGGGGGGTGGGAACGGCCGATCGACCAATGAGCCGCTGCCCCCCTTGGCACACATCTACATATAGGTATATGTGTGTAAGTGTGCGTGTGCAGTTGCACCAGGCTCGCCTGGTAGTCTAATCGGTATATTATATATATAGCTGGGTCCCATACGCGTATACGCGTCGCAACTATAGTATATAAGGCTCTTTGACAATCGGCGCACTCCACGGCGACGAGCCTATATATATATGCGGCGCAATTGGCATCGAGATGCTTTCGCAAACGGCAAAAATTGCGACGATCGCGCGCATAGCGGACAAGTACACACATACGGAGCATCGTGCGCGAGGGACGATCGGCAAAGCTATGTATACAGTTTGCAGCACGGAGATCGAGCGTGTGGGCAAATTTTTCCCAATTTGCACAACGCGCAGACACTGCCGCACTGACTATTGCCGAAGCTATTTCCAAATAAAAATTACAGCTCTGCAGCGCGCGGCTCGGCTCGGCTCTATTATTGCGACGACGTTTTGTGCATGTCACTTTGCAGCGTCCTGGATGCGCGTGTGTGCAAGTGTAGACATCGGTCGCAGCTGCAGCGCGACCATCGCCATCGCAGGATCGTGTGTATAATGACCCTGTTATAAATCAGAGCGCGCGCGCGCGAGACTCGAGCTAAGCCAAGACGCGCATTACATACGCTGCCGCGTACGGATGTACTTTATATGCGTAAACCCGCGGGTCGACAAAATTAATTATCATACCGATCGCAATTGTAGTTTTTCCCTTACATTTTATTATTATTATTATTTTTTTCTTCTCAAACGCGAGATTGCATCAACGTGCAGCAAACGTATGGCAAACATCGTATCTACTACGACGACGACGAGGACTCTAGTAGCCTATACCTTACGTAAAACATAGAGCCAAGCTTTCGTTAATTTCTTCAATTTCTTTAAACATTAAATTAAAATGCATTATGTAATATCGGCCGTATCGAGAGAGAGAGAGAGAGAGAAAAAGAAAAACTTTTGTACGAATCTTGCATAATGGAAATTTAACCGCGCGCGGCGCACTGCGTGCGTTGTAGTATATACACGCGTTTGGAAGAATGTTGATTAATATATGATATATTATACGAGTGTATTGTATATTATGGGCCGCGCGATGTTTACATCTGTATACGTACGATGAGTCGCGGCTATAAAGCGATTCTGCAAACTATAATGGGCATCATCATCGTGTGTGCGTGTGTGTGTTGCGTTGTATCGAGTATATCGACGTTTTATGGGGATATTATAGTATCGACGCGTTATTAAAATACACACCTCTACTAAACGGCGCGTCGATGCATCGCAACGCGCGGCTGAATGAGCGATTATATTTTGAATCTGTCCGTAATGTATCTCTATATGTATTTCGTATGGCTTCGCAAGTCGATGCATATACGGTACGAACATTTTTATTCGTTTCTCGAAAGTTTTTTTTTTTTTTTTACGCGCTCGTATCTAAATGCCAGATCGCGAGTTCTAGTCTCGTTAAATATAAAAAATTATATTCATTTTTCCCTACCTATATTGCATTATGGCCGGCGCGTACGCAACGCGTATCGTACGTACACGCGGTATAATCCTTCTCCGGCTCTTTCGTATATTATATCGAGCGTACGGTGCAGGTAATTGAAATATAAATAATTAAAACGTCGAGCGAGTCGAGAGCTGCGAAAGATCGCGTGGATTGCTGCACAGGTTGTGTTGGACGAGAACACAGGAGAGGTACGGGTCAGTCACAGAAACGCGTATTAATAATATACATAAGCATACATGTATTGCAAAATAATCGCGAACGAATATCCATAATCAAACGAAATCGAGGCGTACTTAAGATCCGCGGCCTTATTTTTTCTCGCGTGTGCTAACTTTACAGGGGCTGCGGATACGCTAAACACGTGCGTAATTCGTACGCGACGACGATCGTAGTATAATTATAATTCAAAAAAATAATAACATTAATAATCATAACGATATGTTGCCTTAGCTAGCTGCTTTGTGATGTCGCGCTTGAACTGCGTGCGTGCGGTATTTTATGGAGTCGGCATTTTTCAACCGGTGTTTCGCAAATAGCGTATACACACAGGTTAAAACACATTGAAAAATAATCCGCGCTATTTTCAAACTCATGACAAATTGACACGAGTTGAAAATCGTTACGGGAGAACTCGCGATCTATCCGTAATAATACGAATATCATATGAGCAGGGTTATATTCGAGTATATATGGATGCAACGCGTGGGCGGTCGCGTTACACAGCTGAGCAGCGTAACGTATGGGTATATACATACATTTATATTATTGGTTAGCAGGCCAGCAGTGCAACACGGGCGGCTGTTGCCGATAAACCTGTTCGTACGAAACTTTCGATATATATCCCGGCGGGTTCGTTTATAGAGAGATAGGCGTGTGCAACGACGACTATGGTGAATGAATGCACGTTGCACTGCTTGTATATAGTATTGCGCTCTATACACACTTGCTGTATAATTCGATACCCGATTGATTCAGGATCGAGCCGGGGAAATTTTTTCGAAAAAAATAACAAAGCAACCTAGGGATATGATTGAAAATGTTATAAAAATTACCTAGTAAGAATTAATTTATTGCGTCGTAAAATTTTTTACAGTGTGTCTCGACTTATTTTTCCAAAAATATAATTTTTAATTTTTTTCTATAAAACCATACGAATAAAATTGATCGATGAATGAGTCGAGCGTGCGCGCCACAACGCGCGCCGAACCAAAGCGCACGCGTGTCGTCTTGCGCATTCACAGCGTCGAGCATCGAAGCGACTCGAATAGTTCACGATCTCAACGATACGTGGCTACGACCCGTTTTTCTATCGCTACTCGCAAGTGAAACATCAAAGTTTGGCGCTTAAGTACTGGGGCCGTTCGTTCGATCAGACAAGATCATACTTCACAGGATCATTTCTGTAGTGTATCTTCACAGACTCTCTACCCAAAGTAGGAGTCGATGCAGCCACGAGGATGAGACGTGGCTGCCCATTCTGAGCGTGAGGCTGGCGGCCTCGAGCTTCCCATTGCGGAGGCTCGGCCTGCCATCGATGATCGTTCTCCTCCGAGTTTCATACTTGGGGGGATGGATGGGTAGCTGTCTGAGTGGTTATGCTTATATTAATTCAAAAATAATTTCTTAAGATTGCTATAAGGGATCTTTTCATATTTTAGCTCATTTGTGATTTAATTGTTTTTTTATAAGATCAATATTTACATTTAAATAACCATGTCCAGTTCATTCAATAAATTTTGTTTCACTTTTTTATGTACAAGTAAATCCTAAACGTTAATTATTGAGCAAAAATAGAAACACACCCCTCAACCTTATTCAATTTTTTACATAATCTATCTGTCAAATAAAAAAACCTACTAAATATTGATTTTTCTACGTAAGAGAGCTTCACGCATCGATGATAATCACGCATATGTCATCGACGACGAAAAGCGCGCGCCGTTTTACACACGCGGAAGTGTCGAGAGCCCGATTCTGACACTTACAAGACACGCGTACGAGAAGACAGTGAGCACATTTCGTTCGAATATTTCCTAGCAGTTCGACGAACGAAATGAGATATTTTTTCTTTTTTCGACTCGCGTTTCGGGTATGTGCACGCTTTCGTGCAATTGCATAATATTGCGCGTGTGAATATGGGAAAATTAGACCGATATTCGTCGAAAGGTTCTTTGGAAAATTACGTACCTGTCCAACGATACAGCAACTAGACTGTAAACTGAAGCTGCCACGGAGACGCCCTGGATGTACGGTACTGTTTTACACATGAACCAACCTAGAACCCAAGCTGAAATGAAAATAAAAAATTACAAATTATTAATAAACGTATTCGAAGTATGTACTTGTTTTATTATTCAATTTTCATTGGAATCAACAAGAGCAACAAACAGTGTGCCGGAGGTGCGTTGGCGAGTAATTTAAAAATAATTACTCGACATCAACAGCTGCGACAGCCACACACACACACACCCAGTAAGTTCAAGTTCAATGTCGCAATTTTTTTCGTAAAAAAGGAATTTAAAAAAAAAATACACGAGATGATAAAATTAGTTATTTACACATCAAGGGCTGGTAGCGGTGTGGATACAGTCGAGGTGTGTTTGCATCGTTGGGGCGCTGTAGTCGCCGAGGCCGCGTAGCGGCCGAGGCACTACAGCGTCTCCAACGCTGCAAACACGCTGAGACGTATCCACACCGCTACTCAGCCCTTGTTGTATAAAAAATTTTTCTGCATAAGAGCTCGTTTTGAGAACTATATCATGCATAATTGTTATGTTCCATTTAATTTCTTTATAGCACTCTAAACTAAAAACTGTGACTTTGCCGCTAGTTTTAGGCTCTCGTGTACATACTGTATATGCAACTTGTGTGGATATGTTTTTTCTGAAAAACGAGGGGTTACATAAAGCACTAGTTGTTCCAACTTGAATCTCATTACACTGATTTTCCTAGTGTCTTGATGAGTAGAGTCGGTATAACATCGGTCACGCTGCATTTCTTTCCATTATTCAGTTTCTACTGCTTCATTTTTACAGTCATCGTGTTTGGTGCGAACACAAACATGACTTAAAAATGACATTTCTATCTCATGTAGATATGTTTACATTCAAGAAAGAGAGGTTAAAGGTAGCGCTAGTCGGCCCGCCACTTTGACATGTAGCAGACAGCACAGGCTACACGCACGCGAGCTGAGCGAGTCGTCTTGGCTCGAGTCTGCGGGATCGCATACAGTCGAGGAGAGCAGCGCGCTACGTGGCGACAATTCACACTTCTCCTCGACTGTAATCAGGGCTCCTCGACCTGTATTCAATTGATTTCAGTGCGAGGAGAAGTATGAATTGTCGCCACATAGCGCGCTGCTCTCCTCGACTGTACGCGAATGCGTTACTCACTGAGCACGCTCAGCGCGAAATCAGCCTCAAACGGGCGTCGAAAATGATGGAAGAAACAATGATAACGCCCGGTCTTTCGATCTACGAACTGGCGACCCGTTCAGCACCCGAGGAAGCGGCGAAGCTAGTCACACTTTCGGATTGCTTCGATTTCGCACGGGGAGAAAATTCTATATGGTTACATAAAATGCCCATTTCAATATACTTTACAGATCTATGCCAGATATTATCGAGAAAAATTTTCCGGCGATGGACTGTGGATTTTTTCGTGGAGCTGACGAGCCAACAGCTGCCGATTCTGTGCTGCGAGAAAATCATCGATCAGCTAATGAACGAAGACTTGTATCGTATTTGCTTGGCAGTTACTAATTAAAGCTTGTAACGACTCTCTTATTATAATTTCTTAAACATTAATTACTATCAAAATAAATAAAAAATTAAGAATCTTTCCATTTGCTAAAAAATGAATAATTTTGTGTTGGCTGCTTGGCTTGTAATGGCTCTCTTATGATTATTTTTTTAACCACTATTATTATTACAATCAAAATAAATATAGATAATAATTCAGAATCTTTTCCATTTGCTAAAATTAAAATGTTTTTGTGTTGGCTGCTTGGTTTGTAATTGCTCTCTTATTATTATTTTTTAACCATTACTATTGTAATCAAAATGAATAAAAAAATTTGAATCCATTTGTTTAAATTTGAATATTTTTGTGTTTCATTGTGTTTTATTTTTAATCCAATTTTATTTCCTTCGCTCTGTAATATCCTTCGTTCCTAGATTAATCATCCAGTCCTAAAGATAACTGGTTTACGCGTTCACTGACACATGTACAACCTCTTTGTATACATCTGATCCGCTAATAATTTATTTTTTTTTAGTTTTATTTTTCAACCGATCGGCGCATAGATTGTCGGTCAGTCGTGCAACGGCTATACTAATATACATTTTATATTTTTTTTTCTAATTTACACGCAGTCGAGTTATTTTAATGTTTAGTCAGCCTTGAACAGTACAAACGCACGCGGGCACGCAACTTCTCGGGAATATTACATCAGTTTGGGGTGCGAAACATGAATTGCATCAATTGGAATATATGTATTAAAATACCGCGGGATTAACGACTATTGCTCTATATCGAATAAAGTGCAATATTTTACGTGGTTATGAAAACAAGGCTAGGACACGACAGCATCGGCATCTCAACTCGTGTTGACCGTCCGGCGCGAGCTTTTTGTCTCAGTAGTAAGAATAACAATATAGTCAGGCATGCGACTACGATACATCGTACAAGATATACTAATTCCAAAATAATTAGTATTATTGAAAGACCTGGTTCTCCACGCGCAGGGTAACGCGTCTCCATTTAAATTAACACACAAAAGTGTCACTCGTTCGTGGAGAGCGTCTATATACACGACGAGGAGTCTTATCTCAAGGCCGCGCCGCGTGCAAGTGCACACACGAGTCATATAATATTGGCCGCAGGAATAAAATCGCTCGCATTGTATACGCATACAAGGATTCGGATTTTTCTTTCTTCCGTGGCAGTTGTGCGCGCTTTCACGCTGTGTAAACGCCGTGTGCTGCGGTAGCCTCGAGCGCGAGCTTTTTTGTCACAAAATCGCGGTATGTGTGTGTATGAGGGAAGGCAAGAAAGTAATCGCTGCCATACCGCACATCCATCTCTTTTTCTGCTCAATGTCACGTGCAAAATGGTATATAATGTTTACCCACACAGACACACTGTTGTACGTATTCTAATGCATGCCGTGCCATTGGCGACTCTTTTGCCCGAGCGAAGTAAGTACCGGACGTTCGCGGTTCGAATCGAGCGCGAGTTATGTGTGCGCGGGGGGACGCATAAAACGCACGCGCCAATATAATATTTTACGAGTTCGCAGCTTTGTCTATAAAATACTTTGTGTGTGAGTGTCTGTGTGTTTACCCTTAAGAAAGCTTGCTGCAGCCTCCGAGGAAGCTGAAAGAAAGATAAAACGAAGAGTGGGAGAGAGAGAAGAGCTTTTAAAAGACTAGACGGGCGAGTTTCTTTAAACGTATGTATGAAAAAAAGAAGAAGAAGAAACTCGCCTCTGCCTTGCACGACCTCTAAACGTGTACTGCACTTTTGAAAATTGAACTTTCTCTCTCTACTCTACTCTCCTAGCGTTTAGCTTCCTGCACGAAAAATACATCACGTAGTACACGCGTGTATTCCGAGAGAGAGAAGCTACCTAAAAATATTGAAAAAACGAGCTAAGCGTATAACGCGCGGGCCGTAGTACTGCTTCTGCTCTTCCGCAATAGCTCGCAGGAGCCTCGTACTCACCACTTTCTGCACCTTTGACCTCCGCCACTCCGAAAAAAAAATTGGAGGCCACATTAGGTTGCGTATCATTGAAGGTCTCTTTCTTTCACTTTTTCATATTCGCTATTCGACTAAGTTGCCAAGAAAATATATCGTATGTATACTCGCGAAAAGATCATAACAAGGATCATATAATGCTGAAGAGTATAGTCATAAATATGATACATGCCGGACGACTCTAGTGAAAGAGTTGAAAAAAAAACATGCGCTGCGATCGTCGCGAGCGAGATGAGAATATAATGGAAATCGCAACGTCTCTACGTTATAAAAACTTTGAATCTTTTACGATCTCGCTCGCTAAATACCTATCGAGACTTTTAAGACCATAAAATAGCGCAGTTAAGTAGCTTGAGAACCAGTGAACTTGATTGAAAAAATTACTCTATCGGACCATAATATGTCGTACTGCCGGTATGTCAAATCGCTCGGCGTAAAAAAGTATTTCACGTGCGCGACACACATTAAACGACCTGACTCTCTCGCGCTATTGGCATTTTCGAATCGAACATTATTACAGCGACCGCCGATGGAAAATGGCCAAATTTCAGGTTTGAATCGTATACGTTAAAGGCATCGCACTGCGTGTGCGAATTGCCCGCACGGGATCGGCGGTGCGAACGATGGCGAAAAAGTGACTGGGAGAAAACAAATGGGGCGCCTTGACAGAGACATTTTTGGAAAAACACGTTTGGCACTGGTAGTATTTAGCTCGCCGTGCGAGAGCATTTTTTTTTTACGACAGATAGATGGAATTGTCAAAATTCGTTTACGCGCGTGCCTGCGTATATATCATTATACCGTGATTTTCTTGCGATTTTCAAGTTCCAGGCTTGAAAAACTACATTTTATTTATCCGCGATATTCATAATCGCGTCTGGCGCGACGGACGACGAAATTCGTAACGCAACTTGGAATTGCGCAACATTTTGATACGATACCTAATTTATGCATATCGTATTATTACGCGCGTGAAACGATTGCCGATGCAGCTTCCTGAAACAGAGATCCAGAAAACCGCTCTAATACCGATCCCTTTTTGCAAATTTTCTACGACCCTATGTGCATCATATCGTCTTTCGTACTTTTGACATTTTTCTCACAGAGCTTCGTAAGGCACGCACTCATATACACACGCACACACCAAAGTTTGCTGCGGCGCGTCATTCGCATTTCCGGAATCCAATCAAAATGCCGAGAGAGTTTAATCGATTCTCCGGTTTACGTCTCGCGAGCGCATTAGGCGCGATATTGAAAATAGGTGAATACATTATCGTGTGTACTCCGGTGGCGTGTGGAAAATTTAGAAATTTTCACGATTTATTTAAAAACTTTCGACTTCATTGTTCGTAACTGGTTAAAATATTTCATTAAATGAGGTCGTCGATTCTTTAATTTGAGCGTCTACTCGCAGACACCCCGGAAATTATGAGATATATTTTACGGACTCAACGAATGAATGAAAAAAAAGATAGGAAAAGTAAACGTGAAGCTAATCCGAATATCCGTATTGCATATAACAATTAA